CCGTTTCTTTGCGGGGAAACGATGTTGATGGGGACCAGGCACAACTCCTTGACTTCAGCTCTCGTCTCTTCACTTTGGGGGACGTGAAGGTTCATCTCGTCACCGTCGAAATCGGCGTTGTAGGGAGAGGTGACGGACAAGTTCAGACGGAAAGTTGAGTAGGGCATGACGCGGACTCTATGACCCATCATAGACTCCTTGTGCAGAGATGGTTGACGGTTGAAAATGATATAATCGCCCGTGATCAAATGACGCTCGACCTTCCAGCCATATTCCAAAGAAATTTGTCCAGCTCTGCGATGATGGCGCAAATCAATTCTCGTGCCGTCAGACCGAATGACGTACTTGGCTCCTGGGTGCTCGTTGGGTCCGTTTTGAACAAGCTCGTGGAGCCTGCCGATGTTGTACGGAGTGACGGTCTCAGGGTAGGTGAGAGTTCTTGCGATACTTCGAGGAACACCAACCTCGTCAAGAGACAGGTTGGCATCACCGGTAATGACAGTACGTGCCGAGAAGTCGACACGCTTTCCCATCAAATTGCCACGAAGACGACCTTCCTTGCCCTTGAGACGTGCACGAATAGCCTTGACGGGACGACCACTCTTTTGCAGGGCACGAGGTTGACCAGCGATATCGTTGTCCATGTATGTCGCGACGTGGTACTGCAAAAGCTGCTCGAAATCTTGTGCAATATGAGCGGGCGAGCCCTCGCGAATGGCCTGCTTGACGTTGCTGTTGGCGCGAATGATATCACCGAGTTTGTAGGTCAAATCGTCTTCGTTTCTGAGTCCTTGACCGGTTCCGTCCATGGAAATACTGGGACGGACAGGCGGGGGCGGAACGGGAAGAACGGTAACGATCATCCACTCTGGACGAGCGTACTCGAGGTTGAGACCCATATCTCTCAGATCTTCATCACTGATACGACGCAAGATGTTGTGAGCCATCTCTGGAGTGATTGGCGGCTCCTCCTTCTTCTTGACGCCATCTTCACCTTGAGCCTCGTACTTTGCAATGAGCTGCAGAGCCTTGTGTCGTACCCTAGGCTGGATGTTGCCACAGCCGCCGTGGTTTACGGGAGCCTGCTTCATGTTCAGGCCGTACTCTCCATCGTCGGGCTTCTGCTCCTTGACCTCGTTCTCGCAACGAGTCTTCTTCTTGCAAATGTTCCAAATACGGTTGAAGCGAACCTTGGGGTCTCTCGTGTTCACAGCTTGGAGAAATTCAGGGTCGCTCTGAGAAGCCAGGTTAGCAAAATCAAGTCAAGGCGGCTGTCAGACATCGTAGAGTAAACTAACTCTGTCGGCCAAGACTTTGCTGCAATTATGGCAGACAATCTCCAAAACCTTCTTGACTTTCTTGATAAAACCAGGATGGTAGACGGGCTTCGCCAGCTCGATGTGGCCAAAATGTCCAGGACATTCGCCCATCGCCTGGTTACAGGTCTTGCACTTGAATTGCCGGTCGATAGAGCCGAGAAGAGGATCGTTCAGACCGCCGTCGCGAGGCTTCGTCCGCGTCTCGTCCATGGTCTCGGGGTAGACACAGTGACAGACACTCATGTTCTTGATCTCCTCAGGAGCCATGAGGCCGAACTGAATCTCCTCGACCGTCTTGATCGGCGCACTCGAGTGCGTGAAGTAAAGGTTCGCCATATTGACGGTATTTTCAATGTCGTTCGGAAAGAATGAGTCGACGGGAATTCACGAGGTATAGAGTCGGAAAACAGGCAAGAGTCGCCGATAGTCGTGACGCGACCTGGAAAAGTCGCAAACAGGGCGCAAAAAGGTCGAAAAGCGAGAATCTATCGCGCGAAACGCTTTTCGAGATGAAAAAAATCGGGCAAGGTCGTCTATCGATGGCGCTCTTGACTACGCCAGTCCCCGGCCAGCGGCCCAGGAGAAGGTTCCACTGATCCTCCCAATCGCCGCCACCTTAAGTGCGTCGAAGAATCGAAAAATATCGCGGTCGTATCGAGTCGTTGTTCGTGTCGGAAATGAACGTGCGGTCCAGGGGCGCGATTTCCGACGCGCGTGGTGATTGTCGATGCGTGGATTGACGGAGTTGTAGAAGTGAAGACCGTGGAGGCGAGAATGAGGAGCGAGGTCAGAAACAAATCTTGCCTCCAGGCGGCTGGCGCTGCCGGCAGAAGTACGCTAGCCGGATTTGGCAATTATCCTCCTTTACCTTCCTCAGGCTGGATACGCGTGCCCGAAGTCGAGGGTACCCACAAAAGTCATGAAACAGAAGGAGCAATCGCCGACGGACTTAAGTACTTCGTAAGTACTGCTATGTACATTTCCCATAGGGAACTGCTCGCTGTGCGAGAAGCAAAAGTCCTGAGGAACTTCAGCTGCAAGTCTGCATCACGCCTATGAGTCAAGAATTCCTGCGGAGCCTTTGCAGCGGTAAAGATCACATTGGCGTTGACAAGCCTTGATGGCTGAGAACTTTTGAGACTCGACTCCCTCGCTTTGTCTGGCATTTCCCCCAATGGCTGTCGAATTCCCGTCATTAATAAGCAGCCACCCAGCTTCGAGAGCTTTAAAGAGTCCTGGATCGTTCAAGTTTACATCACTGCAAGTCCCATCGCGCTAAAGTCCGAGCAAGGGTCTGCACACCAACGAAGCTCGTCCCATGGCGACGCGATCCAACGCCATGTCACGCGTTTTTGGTGTCCACGCTTCAACCTTGGTTCATTAGAAGCCTGTCAGCGTAGAAATCATCAACAACTTGGGGTATTATTTGCTTCATCTTCTCCGACCTTTACCACCAATCCTGCCCTTTCGAGATTGCATCTTGTCCTCCACTACTTCGCTATCCGGTATCTCACCGTCCGCACCCGGACTCCTTCTCCGCATGGTACCGGTAGATACCGTAACGAACTCTTCCTCGCTGTCGCTCTCTCCAAGATCGAAAAGTATCGGCATACGGAACGCTCCAGCATCGCTAATATGTCCATTGATGACGGTCGATGTAACGACATCCACTTCCTCATCCTCCGCGTCTAGGCGTCTCTTTTGCAGCTCCTCCTGGCCGTAGATATCGAACTCGTCCTCTAGTTCCTCGTACTCTTGGTTCTCCTCGACCTGCGCAAAGTCGGGCGCGAGTCTGGACCACTTTTGCTCGGGTATGACGGACCATATGTATATTCTTCCCGTCTCAAGGCCACACGTTGCGATGAAGGGCCGATCCGGGTGCCATTCCACCACGCCTTGTTCTTCCTTGGGGCCATCCAGAATTCTGATCAGGCCTGTGCTGCCCATGCCCCTGTCCCAGACATATATCTCGTGGTTGTTGTACGTTGATGCCGCGACGTACTCAGAGGCGGAACTGAAGGTGACGTGGTTCCATGACAGCCTGTTGACTTGATCTGAAAACTTGTGCTCTTCCGTGAAGTGTATTGTATCGAGATCGAGATTCTCGGCTGCGAGATTCGGAATATGGAAGGTTCTGACAACGCGGTCTTGGGCGTTGATCAGGAGAATTCTCCCCGAGTTGTTCAGCCGTAATGTTGTAATTACACCGCTGCATGGCTTTTCTGAGTATATGGTCTTCAGAGTCTTGACGTCAATGACGTTGATCCATCCCTTGTTGGTTCCCGCCAGAATATGCTCTCCCGTAGAGGTAAATATCGTGACGGTGGTCATCTGTTTCGCGTCGTCTTTTAGTTGTTTCTCGGTGGGTTCGCCGTCAATATCGGGGCGTTTCGGTGCCGAGCTTAGGGGGTATTTGACATCGGTCACATCTGACACATCGACGAGTATCGGTTGCTCCTCAAATATCGAAGCCACAAACTGGTGACTTGCTAAGTTAGCGAACTGTCAGCTTCATAGGTAAACGGGTTATTCAACTCACTGATTGAAGGGATTGAGCTCCGCGATGTATGCCGGAGCCCGAAAACGGACCTCGCGATACCGTTTGCCGTCCTTCAAATCCCACAAGACAGCCTTCCAACCCTGGCACGCTGACAGCAGATAGCGACCACACCTTGACCAACTCAGCGAAGTGATACTTCTGTGGTGGCCGCGCATCTTCCTCGCCACGCCCATCGTTTCAATGTCCCAGATGACCACTGTGCCGTCCACCCTACCAGAGGCCAAGAGGTCACCCGATCGATTGAATCGTAGGCATGTTGAATGCCCGGACCGGATGGTGTTCGTATTGTTGATCGCGTTGATGGCCTCGACCGCGGCAATGGCCTCATTCTCTTCATTACTGAGAAGGAAGTTCATGATCGCGGGAGGCCCAGCTGCTGTCGCAAGCTGGCGATCTAGACGAGCGTTGCGTGCTTCGGATTGAGGGGTATGGTGCAGGTCGCAAGCTTGAGCGGTTGGATTAGAGGAATAATTATTGGAGTGCAGCCGTGCGCATGCGACTGCCTTTCTTGCGCCTGCAAGGCTGAAGTGCTCCAGGGATCCGGCCCCACAATGAACGCCTACCTGCCGCCCACCTTAGGTACGGACCGGAGTAGCTCAGGTACCTCTCCAAGCCTGTGCCTGTGTCGTCTTAGGTTGAATAGGTATTTCAGACCGAGGCGTTGTAGATGAGTCAAATTCTTCAAAGTGCAAATTACCGCCGAAGACCGCAGTTTACATGGCCACCTAGTATTTTCTTAGACGCCGCATGTGCTTCGCAGTCAGTTTTCTTTGTTCGAGACTGCAGGCACGATCAAGAGGGATAGGACTAGAGGACAGGAACGACTTATTGCCATAGCCTTTCTACTTTTCCCAACTGAGTCCAATGAGATAGTTTCGTCAAATGGCATTTTGTCGTAATCGCCGGAAAATTTGAGTAGTAACAATTTACCTTATGATTCAACTTGTCTGAGGTGGTAGCTGCGATGGGAGCCCGTGTAAAAGAGCGCTGCTGTTGCGCGACATCCCTGATCCTTGTACCCATCTCGGCTCACATTTAGACCCCGCCGAAGCAGCGGCAGAACGACCCCTCCCCCGCCATCCCGTCTACCTACTGTCTGAAGTTCGTCTCCAACACTGCCTTACAGTAGACCTCAGACGGCGTGTTCTTCCCCATCCTCACAATGGCGAACTCCAAGTAAGAGTCCACCGTCCCTTTCTCTCCCCATGGAAATTGATCTGACTCCAAATGCAGATTTGAATACGTCAAGAGCTTTGAGCAGCCTGACTTCCTTTTGCCAAACACCTGGATCGTCGTCCGCATAGACGGGCGAGGTTTCACCAAGTAAGTCGAGTCGGGGAAGTAGGGATCCATTTCTCGACCAAGATCTACCCTCTAACGATCATTGCCCCTACACCACATAGACTATGTGCAAAGTATGGCTTTGAAAAGCCAAACGACAAGAGGGCCATAGACCTCATGAACGCCGCCGCCAGGGTTGTCGTCACCGAGCTTCCAGACATCACCATCGCCTACGGCGTCAGCGACGAGTACAGCTTCGTGTTTCACAAATCATGTACCCTCTTTGAGAGGAGAGCCAGGTAAGCCACATTGGCTGGCTTACATCTGCCTTCAATTTTGAAATCGCACAGCTAAGATTATTTAGCAAGATCTCAAGCACAGTCGTGTCCACGTTCACGGCCAACTACGTCCACTTGTGGTCGCAGTATTTCCCAGATACCCCGCTCACCTCACCTCTGCCGAGCTTTGATGGAAGAGCAGTGTGCTATCCTACCGTGTCAAACCTGAGAGACTACATGAGCTGGCGCCAAGTCGATTGTAAGTGCTCTGCGGCATAGTCATTCGTGCTCTTAAGAGGCTAACCTAGTAAAAGGCCACATCAACAACCTCTACAACACAGCATTCTGGGCTTTGATCCAATTAGGTGGCCTCGACAACAGAGAAGCAGAGAAACTCCTGGCGGTGCGTCCTCCTTGACCAAGAAATGTTGATGCAACACAAATCTAATCACTTACCAAGGGAACCGTATCCGGAGACAAGAACGAGATACTCTTCTCCAAATTCAAAATCAACTACAACAACGAGCCCGAGATCAACAAGAAAGGCAGCGTAGTCTTCCGAGATGTAAGTCATTCCAGGGTTCTCCTTGACAGGATGCGTGAGGCGCAGAACTTGCCCGACTAAGACACCCTTTTACAGTACGAGCTCGTCGAACCGGGCACCCACAACGCCGCGCAGGCAGCAGATGCGCTCGCGGAGCCCGTCCAACAGAGCAAGACGCAAGCGGAAAAGGACAAGAAGAAGCGCACAAAGGCCCGCGTCGTCATCGAGCACCTCGACATCATCAAGGATGACTTCTGGGACAGGAGGCCATGGCTACTTTCCAACAAGCCAGGCAAGACCCCCAAGGAGCCTTGAACCCCATCAGACATGGTTTAAATATCCAAGTCCGCCATTGACTTCGCCCGCAAGCTCTCCCGGTGTGCACGATGGGCAAAACATGGAGGCAAAGACACCCAGACAAGCGTAGATCCGCAAACAGAGGTAGAAGGAGAGGAGGAAGAAGAAGGGGGGAACGTGACATGCAACGAGCAACAAGGCCCGGAAGTAGATCCGAAATTTATTCTGAAGATACCAGAATTTGGACGAGCTTGGTCCGTATGCTTTCACTCAAGATGAAGCTCAAATTAGAGGAATTTGAAACAGCGCAGTCGCTGATTGATGCAGAAGACGGTGTCCAACAACTTCAATTACAGGCAGTGAAGTGCCCGTGACCACGACAGAGCCCGCTTGCTCTTACGTCCCAGCTGGACGACGTGACCTTGTATCTTCTATCAATCAGTGCTTTTTTGGATATCCCTTGCGCCATGTAACGAAGCCCCTTGTTGTTGACAGTAATGTTTCCCCGCTCTAACCCTCGCCACGAAGCCGTGAAGCTGATGTCTGATGCTCACTGACGTTGGCGTGTGGCACAGCCTCTCGCTCTACCAGAAAAAGTAGAGCACGGCGACGACGGGTCTTGTCTTCGGCTCGGCGAAGCAGCGGCGGGGAACATGTCCTCCCCGTTATGCTAATCTTTTGGGGGTTTCAGAACCCCATTCTCAGCCCCAGCAGCATTCAACCAGACACCCCCTTCTTCGCCTTCCTCGCTTCCCTCTTGACCTTCTTCACCTCCCTCCGCGCCCTCTTCTCCTCCTTCAAGGCCTTCTTCGCAGACCTCTCAACCCTCCTCGCCTCCCTCGCCGTCTTCCTCGCCGCCTTGGCAGCCTTCCTCGCCCTCCTCTCCTCCTTGGTCTCCCCCCTCTCCTTCTTCTCCTTGCCCTTCACCACTCTTTTTGTCGTCTCCTTCTCGTCTCCGCTCTCAGAACTACTCGTACCCCCACTCTCAGGCGTCGAAGCACCGCTCGCCTCCTCCTTCTCCTCCTTCACCTTCCTCTCAAGCTCCTGAATCGTCCCCTCCAAAAACCCACCCTTTACAAAACTCGCATACAGCATCCACTTGCCCCCCGACACCTGTTCAATCTGGTTCAGCCGCCCCGTCGTGACCGTCTGCGTGACCTGCCCTTGTTTCGAAGTATCCAGTCCCTGCAACTGCTCGTCAAAGGCGTTCATCCACCACGTGTCGCTCGTGAAATGTGCCTTGGTGCCAAGCCCTTTTGTGTTGTCTTTGCGGTTGAGGAGGAGCGGCTTCGAGAGGCCGATGCGGTCGTCTGTTGCGTGGAGGGAGTGGCCTGATCCGCGCCAGCCTTGCGATTGGAGGAGGGCGCGGGCGTCCATCTTTTTTGTCTCGTCGGTTGTGGGAGTTTGGGGGAGGTCTTTTGATCGTTTCGGTGGGAGACTTTCGATTTTTCTAGGTTCGCGATCGGATGGCGAAGGAGATAATTAGGTTAGTATCTGTTGGTCGGCTTCGGGGTGTCATGAGCGCATGGGGGACGAGTTCATGGCCAAAACAATCATTTGATTCGAGTGGTTCTTCGTTGGGGCAACTGCAAATGGAGGGAGGATTGCGACGAGGTGCTCGGGCAAAAAGTGGTCGGTGAACTGGAATTTTTCTGTTCTGCCGTCCTTATCTTATCTTAGCCTTCCAAGGTACTTTCTTTATCCCACCCAACCCAACCCCACCAACATCAATGATCGACCCAAGTGTGAGCCGACGGGATTCATGTCATTGCCTCCGGAGTACAAGGTATTAGTTCACGGGAAACGTGGAACTCTTTCTAGTCAGTATGGTTCATACTCCAATTAACAGACCCTTTATATGACCAATGGTTCTTGGTGGCTCCCTCCCAAACAGTGGAAATTGGACATCTCTGACAGAGCCAAAACACTGGCGCTTGCAACCTAAGCGATCCAATTGTGTAATACCATTTCGACTTTGAACGTTTCTTCGTTGATGAGGTATCTGAACTAAACACTTTTGTAGCTCTCCCCTCTATGATTGTACAAGCAGATGCCCCCTTTTTTTGGTGTCCCATATGCATCCCGAAATAGAATAAAAAAATCTACGCCTTAACCTTCTTGGCCGCGGGCTCCGCTGCGGCATCATCCAAAGCACGCTTCTCAGGCTCGCCAGCAAGCTCTCTCTCCGCCTTCTCGAACTTGGCCTGCTCCTCGGCGGTCAAGTTGGGCAACAGCGGCTTCTCCTCACCCTCCGTAATGTTCAGGTGGAAAGTACGGATGATGGAATCGGCGTCATCAATGGCAATCGGCCTGACGTCTGCCAGGGCCTTGATCTTCTGAGTGACGACCTTGACCTGAGCGTCGGTCATGGTGAGACCAAGCTGCTCAACACGCGACTTGATGGCGTTCCATCCAGTCAATCTTGATGCGAAGTGGACGTATCTGCTCATGCCGAAGTCGGCGGGGTTGATAATCTCTGCATAATGCGTTAGCTGTGCCCTTAGCCCGGAACATTGCCACCCAACGTACCGTATGTGCTAGGGTTGTTGAGGATGGCCTTAGCGTGGATACCGGCCTTGTGGGTGAAGGCACAGAAACCGGTGATGTAGTTGTTGAAGGGAATGTTGATCTCGACAGCCTCGGCGACGAGGTCCTCAAGCTCCTTGAGCTTGTGCAGCTTGTACTTGGACTTGGTGTACTCGGGGGCGGCAACGATCATGCGAGCCATCAGACCACCGAGAGGGGTGATACCGTTGCGCTCACCGATACCGATGACGGAGGTGTCGACTGGTAGTTGAACGTCAGTATGTGTGGAGCACGAAGCTATCGAGAATTTGACTCACTGTGGGTGGCACCGGCCTCGAGCGCGCAGTAAGCGTTGGCAATGGCGCATCCAGTATCGTTGTGGAACTATCGGGGTGTAAGTATTGAATATGCGCCGTGTTCGGTAGATCTAAAGGCGACTTACGTGAGTCTCGATATCGCAGCTGACGACACCTCTCAGGGTGCGGACAAGGTCGTAGACTTGTCTAGGGCTGGCGCAGCCGACTGTGTCGGCAATACCAACTCTGTGAACACCAACCTTGTCGACGGCGCTGTAGACGGAGAGAAGGTCGACGAGGTCGGAACGGAAGGAGTCCTCAGAAGAGAAACGGATCTCGAGACCCTTGGACTTGACAAACTGGATAACCTCAATGGCAGTGTTGATGATGTAGGTCATATCCTTGCCGTGGGAGTGCTCACGGAGGTATGAGGAGGTGCCAATGACGACATCGACACCGTCAACACCGGTCTCGACGGCGAGGCGGGCATCGTCCATCTGCGCAGTGTTAGTCTTTGCGATATTTTGGTTTGCGGACGCGGAGAGCTCTTACGTGGCAGCGGACGTGAGTCAGGATCTTGGACTTGAGGCCGAGCTTGCAGATTGCCTCGCAATCCTTGCGGGACTGCTCAGAGGCAGCGGGCGAGGTAAGCTCAATGTAGTCGACACCAAAGTCGTCGAGAGCCCTGGCAATCTTGATCTTGGTCTCGGTGTCGAAGAAGGCGTTGGCGAACTGCTCGCCCTCTCTCAGAGTGGACTCGACTATACGTCACACGTCAGTGGGGTTTGACTCAAAAGAAGCTCGTTCGGCAGAACACACTAATCTGGTATCGGTCAATGTTGCTGAGGAAGTCGCCAACCGGCTGGTACGGGTTGCTTCCGGTGTGCTTCTGCTTGGTCTATATCGTCGGAGTCAGAACAATTCGTCAACGGTACCGCGGAAGCGGTTTTCGGAGGCGATTGATGGTTCTTACGGGAATGGCAGTGTAGCCAGGGTGGTCTGGACGCAATGGAGTCAGTAATCAATCGACAGCAATGTCACGCGCAAGAGAACTGCGACACTTACTAGCCTTGTTGGTGCCGTTGGCGGCGCCGTTGCCGTTCGCATGGCCATTGGTGCCATTGGCATGGCCATTGGAGGCCGGGACGTCAGGAGTAGGGCACATCTTGTATGTTCATGCACCGTATGTCGTGTAATGGGATTGAATTGTTCGAGGATAAATAGGTGGAAGCTCGGGATGATGGTGGGATTTATAGACGGAGTTTTGAGCAAGTTGAGTCACAGTTCAAAGAAGGGACTGGGAAGATGGACGGTAGGCCAAGAGTATATGTAAGGAAAAACTGGAAGTAAAAAAAAAATAGCACCGGGCGAGGCGAGGCGGTACGCAACAAGGTGTGGATTGGGCGGGATGGCCAGTGATGACCGAGGACGGCGTTCGCTGCTCCCAAGGTCAACCAGTCAATGAGCGGAAAAAAAGATTTTTTCCCACTCTTTAGCCCCGCTCATGGCACATCCCCGACCGCGCTGCAGCACTGTGCCATTGACTCTTAATCAACATTTTCCAAGGGCCGGTCGTTACGTCTGTCCTGTCTGTACCCCGCTAGATGCCACCTGAAGCGGGCTGGATTCGACCTCTGCCATTGGCGGAATGCCTCTCCACACGCCTCATAGGCCAATCAGCCCCCCGTTATCGGAAGATCGATCTCCCACTTGGAGGTAACGCTAAACCTCATGCGGTAATTCCACATGCTGCAGCTTGCCTGGGTTCATAGTCCGTGTCCGCTTCTGTGCCATCCTCCCGCTCAGCGCTGCCACCTGCTGATGGTGCTGCAGCAATGATGGCCTTGCGTGGGAGACACCGCCTTTCGTCCTCGTCGGAATCCTGCCCCCAAGATGATGTCTCTGCAGCCATTGTTGGCTGATTTGTGAGCGGCGAGAGGGGCCTGGCCTACCCGTTGACAAGGTTCCTGGGAGCTGCAAGGTCAGCTACCTGGGGCGGAGCGCCGACCTCCTGCAGCAGCGCAAAGGACAAAAGTTGCTTCGCAAGCGTCGCAACGAGTGCCGTCGGAGACCATGACCCGACTGAACTGCCCTTGGGAGCTTCAATTGACTCTTCCCCACGAAATTGGATGGCGCTAAGCATCAGAGGCAACAATTGAGACGAAGTTGGACAGAGTTGGCCCGGCTGCGCGATCCTCCTCACGGGTTCACGAGCACCGGGGAGCGCAAGATGCTTCTGAGCCGAGCGTGCCTCGCGCCAACCAGCTACCACGCATTAAACATCAGACCAATTGCCGCCAGCCCGGGCTGTACTAGTGATGCAACTCGCCGTGCTTAATTCGAACCCCAGCCGGGTGTCTCGACAGGAACAATGATGCGAGAAAGTGTCCATCTTCGTGCTTGTTGGACAAACCGAATAAATAACGAAAAACGAGGCTATTAGCTAGGTACTCGAAGTCGTCTGACCCCAGGTACCGTCGCGAGGCCATAATATGGTTAGGTCGCTTTGTCGGATCCTCCGACGGGCCCCCGTCCGCATTACCGACGGTCCTCCAAGACATCATCTGGCTGCCGGTTGCTGGGTGCTGGGGTAGACGCTGCTCCAATTTTCTAATAAGGGTCCACACTTCAGTAACGGATCCCCAGACGACGTCATGCAAGTATGACTGACTCCTTGAGTCCTTGCGATATCCGTACGGATTGGATAGGCATGTTTCAAATTATTTCGTCTACCGTCTCCGCAGGTTCACATCCAGATGACACCTACCACTGCGATACTGCGAACGAACAATCCTATTTGCAGTGAGTCACTGCTGATTTGCAGCCGCATCTTGACTAGGATTCAGGACCCAGAGGAACCTCTGGTGCTTCGGCTGGTTACCCTCACAGTGAACGAATTCCTTATTGTTTCCCAATCGGTCGAGATACATGAGCGAGGCTCACAATCTAAGGCAATCTCAGCGATTGCGGCGTTAATCACTCGTGCCTCGGCTTTACTGGCTTTGGGCATACAACGTGGTGTATTTGTTATTTTCTCTGCCCTATTGCTCATAAGGCGGTGCTCGATACGAGTTACACAGTATAAGTGGATACTCCCACTGTACAACGCGGTGTATATAAGCTCATTTCCTATCTAACGATAGCGATATACTCTACAGTGGAGATCCATGGCCGAGAAAGAGTACCCAGGCGGGTATAAGGCGCGAAAAGCGCAAAGATCCATCCCAGAAAGTGAAACCCACGAGAACCAGAAAACCCGTATCACCTCAGCAAGTGCCTAGATATCCACCAAGAACATGTTGCCGCTTGAGGCAGAATGGACATGGCCCCGTAAGAAGGCACAGCGTGGCCATCAAACAGACCAGATGTACTCACCATCCGGGTCACCCTTCTGGGCTGGTCTCAGCTGCTTGGGCCGAGGAACAGCCATTCCCTCGCGGGCCATCAAGTCAGCCCCCGAGTAATAGGCCATATAAGCGTAGTCCTCTCTAGTCACTGCCACGTACTTTCGCACGTAATGCTGGCTCTCGAGATCTCCCAATGCCTGGGCTTCCTGTTTGATGACCTTGCCCACTTGGTTGTTGATGACCGCGTTTTGAGCTTCCTGAATAGGCACCTGAGCATTCTCCTGCTTGACTTCCATCCCGGAATGCTGCTCAGGAAAAGACGAGTACTGTTGGTACCTGAGATGCTCTTGAGGCTGAAGATGCCCTTGAGCCCGCCGATGATTGTCCCGGGCATCTCTCTCGTGCTGAAGTCGCAGCCGCAGGTCTTCGCCCGGCATTCCGGAGTTGACAATGAGAAGTTGCTCATAGAACCCATTGGCAGCTTGCGAACCAGGAAACTGTTGCGTTGCGTGCGGAGGCTGGCGAAGGCTCGCATTTGACGGAGTGTGGTAACGTAAGAATTCCAAGTCGTCACCTGCGTGGTGTCGCTGTCTCGCGCGGGTCTCTGGGGTATGAGCCTCTCTAATGGGCGTTGTCGCCATGGCTGCTTGGTTGGCGGCATGACCCATGGGCTGAAGAGCTCCGGAAGACGGGGGCTGGGCCGGATCGCTCAGAAGGGGTAGATGGTCTACCTCTCCAGACATCAGCTTCTGCAAGCGGGGATACATATGGGATCCATCCTGAGGCAAAGGAGCTGGAAGATCGTTGTATCCATGGTCAGGGGTCGTCGCCAGAGTTGTCACCGGAGGCGTCACTGCAGACGGTTGAGCTGTAGGCACATGTGGCGATAAGTCATCGTCTTCAGGCCAACTTGGGATGGGCGGATAAAAGGTGGTCAAGCCTTCGTCCGTGATGTACTCCCGGAACCCGAGTGGGTTCGCCGCAGAGGCAGTTGTCGCGCTTCTGAGTTCAGCTTGATCCCAAACGTCTCGTAAGGTCACTGGAGGCTGTAGAGTAGGGGCGAGAACACTCTCATAGGCCTGATGATTCTCAAAGCGCACTTGATCGATAGGCTGAACGTCCACCTGGTTTCCGTAGATGTTGTTAGCGTCTGAATAGCCGCCAGCCGGGACAGCTTGACTAGTGGTGTCGGAAAACTCCTAGTTCCGGGGCACGTTGGCAAGCAGTGTCATAGTCTCCACCTCGAAATCGGCTCCATTCGGCAGCTTTTGTCCCTTGGGCAGAGCAGCTGCGACAGAGACGTCGATTTCATTGACCACTCCAGCCTGGAGCTGAACGTCAAAGACTCTGGCGTTGACGGGAAGCACCTGGCCCTGAATGGGATGAGATTGCTGTAAAGTAGACCGGTTGACCTGCACCCACAATCGCCACTGACGTCCTTCCTTCTCAAGGAACGTCGGCACGGTCACAATGGCCTGAAGTCTTAGCTGGCTGGCAGGGACATGAACGGTCACAGACTGCTTGCACTCTCTTTCGAGGGGATTCAGACTGATGTTGAAGCGACCTCCGATATTGATCATCGGATGAGCCTGGATAGTCAGATTGGTGATGAGTGCATCGGCAGCGCCTAAGAGCTTGGTCAGCGATGTAGTCATTTTCATGTCTTGGTACCATACGTACTCTTGCCAGGCGCACGGAACTGCTGATCCCACAGAGGCTTCGGAGGCGGCTGTGGAATAGGATTCGCCTGTGGCTGAGGCTGCACAAGTCCAATGGGTTGGAATGTCGCGTTGGACAGGCTTGCTGTCTGGCCCGCAGGCGGCGGAAAAGCAGATGGCGTGCTAGGTTGACCGGGGGTCACTGCGGGAGAAGGTCGTGCTGCGTCCTCGCGCTTGATGTTGTTTGCGACAGAGGGACTCGGGGATGCGGCCGAAGTGCTTCGGAGTCTGTCCATGGCAGCGGAAACGGCTGGCAGTCCACCCTGGCGAGCGGTGCCGTTGCCAAGTGGCGCTTGATCACTGGCGATGGCTCCCGCTGGCTGGGGAATCGTGGGCGCGGGCGAGTCTGCGGGCTCACTCTTGCCCCCAACATGGATAGTGATCTTCTTGGATGTGGCGGGCTGCTCAAAAGCGGGCTGCTGAACCTTGAGCTTGATCTTGGGCTGCGAAGGCTCTGGCACAGCTGCCTTGGCCTTTTTGATTTCGTCGGCGAAGAATTTCTAACCCCTTGTCAGAAGGGGCTCTCGTCATCGTTATGGTCAAACATACCTGAAGTTCCCGCGCCAATTCATAGATTTCGCTTCCTTCTTCATTGTAGTACTTGGCGTTGTCCCAGAGTAAGCTGGCCGTCTCTTCGAATGCCGCCCAGCTCTTCAAGTCGCTAGTGCCAGTGGCCTCGTTGCGACCTCGAACACCCTTGGTGATCTTCTGAAGCTTGCGGAGCGACATGGGATCCTTGACGACTCGGTAATAGTCTTTCAAAGCTCGCGGAGGAAGGTTGATGAAGGCTTCAAAATAAGCCTCGTCCTCGCTGGGCAGTGTGTTAGCATGGTCTACAACAATGAGGAGTCAGTCACTTACCCGTCTTCTTTCTTGCGAATCATTTCCTCCACAATCTTCTCTTGAGCCGTCTGGAAGTTGAGGCCCTTGTATGGGATGCCCTCGTACTCGTAGTCAGGGCGACTAGGCGTGGCAGTCCGAGCATTTGATTTGCGAGATGTCACGGCCCTAGACGATGACGATCTACCCGGTCCTCTGCGACGGATGAGAATAGTCGGCTTGGAGTTCTGGCTTCCCTCGTCATCGTCCTCCTCGCCTTCCGCATCGTCATCTTCCTCTCCGTCCTCTTCGTCCGCTTCGGCTTCTTCTGCCTCCTCCTCATCTTCGTCGGCATCATCCTGTTCCTCGGGGGATTCTGCCGCACCTTGCGGCTTCTCTATGTCGTCTTCTTCAGCTTCGTCGACGCGATGGGCAGGCAGAAGTGTCGGGACCGCGGTGTAGCCGCCTCTGGCATAAGCGGGATTGGTCTTGGTCATGAAGTTGCTCAAAGCTTTGCGAACTCTCTCGGCATCGTCAAACTGGGGGGTGCTTCTAGTGTAGAAATCCTTCGCGTTGGAGACCATACGCTTGAAGTAGCTCTCGAGTTCGGTAAGAGTAGAGAAATCTCCCTTCTTGAGCTTTCTTTCGATTATCGAAAGCGAAATCGGCATTCTCGTCTTCTTGTAGTATTCGGCATTGCCCTCTCTCGGCATCAGCTTCTCGAAGTAGACGGCGACTTTGCGGCCACTAGAAGAGTTGGAAGATTAGCATTCGCTGCTGCAGCCTGATTTGCGGATGACACCACTGCAATCGATATCCAAGACACATCGAGCCGATGAAAAGGCCGACTTGAGCTATGCGGTGACCAAGATGGGTAAGTAGGTAAACTTACTTCTTGTCCTGAGTTCGGCGGATCTGCTCGAGGAAGAACAGGCCATGTTCGGTAGTCGACTCGACCGTCTCACCCTTGCTGAGATCATATTTCTATGAGGGAGGAAGAAATGTTAGCTTTGTCCTTGAAGAGCCACAGTGCCCAGTAGTTCGGGGGAGGCGATGCTCCGAGAAGGTCTGGAAAAATCGGGAGACTGGCGGAAATGGGCATGGAGGGAAGTGCAGTGCAAATGACGCCCAAGTCAATGTCATCCATTTCGGAACCAATCGGGCGCAAGTCAGATTCCTCGTGAAGCCCTGTGAAGGGCGACACAAGCATGAAAAACTTCCGTCGACAGGTGAAGGGTGCATTTGGGGGTATGGAGGACAATGGAAGCTCACCTCAGTCAGTCTCTGGCGCTTTGCAGCGCGTTCGTCAGCTTCATTCACGCCATTGACGGCGGATGATCTCCGCTTGTTGTCCATCAAAAAGGCGAGGACAATGGTCGCGAACGCATGCGCTCTTCACTGAGAAAGTAAGAAAGAGCTGTTTGCTGTATTGTGCCTGCAATGGGTGACGGCAAGTAGCAGCCTTTGTGTGGGAGAGGCGGTGGTGATGCTGCAGCTGCGACTGGATTGCAGAGACGCGTCGGGTTGGAGATGGAGACGGAGCGGGTAAGGTAAGGAAGGTTCGGGCCAAGGTTGTTGGTAGCCAGGGCTGTAGACGGAGGTAAGGTAAGGTACTTAGCGCAGCAAAACTAAGGTACCTAGCTAGGCAGGTCCCCGGAGATGATGCAGCTCTCCCCACGTTTTTTTCTCGGGTTGAGATGGGGGTAGCTAGAGATCTGAGATACCGAAAAGCCCAGGCACTCGAAGTGGAATTTTTTTTTTTTTTGGCGCGATGAGCTTTCGCGCGATGGTGCAGGTGGTAGGTGGTGAGTGAGTAGGTAAGTCTTTCAAGGTTGGGGATGCTGGGGGGGGATTCTCTCTGGGAATTTCGGGATGGTGGTATTGACCTTTTTGCGCTGACCATTGAACGGCAGGAGCAGCCAGAAGGAGAAGGTACGAGGACGAGGTATCTCCCTTGGCGACTTCCTGCCACCTGGTGCCTCAGGTATGACCAGAGGTAAGGTATTAATTATAGAGTGCCTTTTTCTCGAGGCAACTGTTCAATACCAGCAAAACTGAATTGGCGGGCTGGTAATGGTGGTGCTGCCAGGTGGCGGTCATAGAGTGGGTCCCGTCGACGCCGTTGAGAACCGAAAAAAGGCGAAAAGTTTCACCGCCCACGGCATGGAATGTGTAGTCTGTGCTCATTCTCAGATGGAAGTATCCGGTTAGTGGAGTGAAACTCTCAAAATTGCAGTGAAATCAGCTGAAGCTGGACTGCATGCGCAACAGCACAACATCTCGAGTAGATCGAGGTACCTTTTAGGTTATGTAAGGCATGTTAAGATGCAGCATCGTAGCACTTGAGCAGGTACTTCGTCCAGGCCAGGCCAGACTCCAGGGGCGGAAGTTGCCGGCAAAAACGCCTCGGACCCTGGGGGCCAGCAGATGATGGCAGCGCCGGGGTTCGAAGTACCTCAGTGAAATCCAATCCGACTTTTGTTTACTGCTCCGTATCTTTGCCCACTCTTTGAATAATAACCCCTCGATGCTGCGCGCGCCAGCCTCCCTCGAACATCATATTCTTGACATCGAGCTCCCTCGTTACTTCCCATCTCCTCCTTCGAGTCAGTGGTGCAGCTGAACCGTTGTTTCAGTGCCAATTCCTGCTTACCCCGCCTGCATCGCTGTTTACCTTTTTTTTTTCTCTTCCTCCCCTTCCTCTTCCCCTCCGACTTGGCTTTGTGTGTGTGGTCGCCTGACCTGCCGGAAGAACTGGATCTTTCGCGCCCTCAGACTCCTCTCCCGCGCCCGAGAGCATATCGCCAGTTTCCGACAGCTTCGCCCGTCACTTGACCCCTTCGTCCCTTGTAAACGAGCTACCCCGCCGATCGCGTCCGCGGTTACGCACCGAGACTCGACGCCACTCTCGATCCCACAGACGCACACTCCCATCACAAGACAGACAAACCGCTTCCGCTATGGATATCGACATGAGCCGTCGTAACAAGGTCCCGCGGGCTTTGTCCGACTCAGAGAGGGCCCGTTTGGACGAGTTCATCGACTCTATCCACTACTCGGCACGGTAGGTTATCTTGTTGTTTTTCGTGCTGCCGCAATTCCATTGACTGTGGACTAACTTATTTGCCTTTCCCCTTCTAGATACTCTGACAGCGAGTACGAATACCGGCATGTGCAGCTGCCCAAAGCCATGCTCAAGGCCATCCCTAAAGATTACCATGATTCTTCCCATGGAACATTGAAGCTGCTCTGGGAAGAGGAATGGCGAGCACTCGGCATCACTCAGGTATGCCCCGCGGCCCCCGCTGTGGCCTCTCTACGACGCGCGACAGACGACTAATGTTAGGAACGCAGAGCTTGGGTTGGGAACACTACGAGGTCCACGAGCCTGAGCCGCACATTCTACTCTTCAAGTCGGTGTACCCCTCAATCCCATCCGTTGTGATGCATCACTCACATCGATCAAAATAGGCGCCCACTCAATTATCAGCCTCCCCAGTGAGACCGGCATAGCGAGAAACGTCTCGTTACCCTGCAATCGCAGTACACAATCCCGCTCCCCGCCCAGCAGACTTCTGCTTGGGCGATGCTCTCAACGACACGAATGACGGCCAATTACGATGGAACTTTTCTCTTTAGATATTCAGGAGAAGAGGTTGAGAGATAATGATACCTCGTCTTTGCAGACCACGGCACACGGTATAAAGACGGCGCATACCACTATGGTTATTGCATTTCTTTTAGTTGGTTTGAGTCATCGGGGATCTGTCGGTGTTGAGCTGTTTGCTGCATGTCTTGGAAGTTGAGAAATAGTCTGGTCTGGCGAGACGTCTATTGTCCAGCATCATGGCCATCGTCTATGCCACGTTGCCGCTGATGTGGCGGGCGCTGAGTCTCGCCAATCAATGAGACGAAGGCCATCATGGACGAGTGAATGCTCCGTCTGGAAGAAGAAGGGACGGCGTGTTGGTTGTGTAGATGGTCGCTGTTGGCTAGTACCTGCATAGCTGGACCAACGACAGTAATGAACAGAGCTCAGGAACCAGGAGATAGATACTTGAAGCTAATGCAGTGTTACAAGATGCAAATATTTTCCAAAGGACATGGGATCTGTGGGCGGTAATCTCACAGGCATGCATGTGATATGAGCTTCGACCAACTGTATATGAGACATAACAAGATGATGTCGAGGCACGCGCATGGGCTTGGTCAAATAACCCACGGATCATGACTACGAAATGATGGCGCCACTACAAGACGACGATTAGTCGACATTTTTGACCTCCTAGTTGTTAAACAGTGCTGCAGCCTGCACGAGGCTTCGGGATTACGGGTGCTACTGGTAGTGTAGCGAGGTGCTGGTAAACGTCACTTTGTCAAATGCCCGAAGAACGAACGTAATCTAAATCTAGTGTTTTTCTTGTATTTGAAGGGAAGTGCTATTATCAGATGGTCGACACGTGCAAAGTTGCAGGGAATGGGCGGAGGCCAGGCGTATGAAAGAAGCTCCGTGGTCTGCAACCGGCAAGTCGGCGGGATGCACCAAGCCGGAACGAGCTGAATGGCGGCGGCGGCATCCGAGAGACGAGCTGGAACGGCGGCAACTTATTTTGGCGCCAGAGTGGTCCCAATTGGCTCCTACATCTGCTGATTTTCCACCCGAAAGAAGGACACCTTTCACCCAGGCCCTGGAGGTACCCGAAGCCACCTAATGTCAATGAACACCGGACCACCCTCGCTTTCTCAATTTAGCGTTTGCTGCCCCCGTAATAGTTAAGACAGCATGCCGGCATTGGGAACTTTGGAGTGAAGATTAAGGTACGGGCAACTGGAGTGCGAGGCCTAGGCATACCAGGATACTTTGATATTAGTAGCAGGTCCCAGTGGTCGCATTTCAGGATCAGCCAATCCTCGCCAGATAAAGTAACACGATAATTACCTTGAGGTACGGATACTTGGGAGGGGACCCCTCAGCTGCATATTAATCAGCTTGGAGGGTTCCATTGCTACTTCCACGTTTGCCTTCCTAAGTTCCTGCCATATTCGTTTACAGTTGAGGACAGATTCGCATGACTCTGGAGCCTGCCAGCTTCCTTTGACAGGAAGCGTCTAAAAAGGCCCGACAGTCCCGTTCTTCCAGAACATCCCACCTTACACACTAACTCTGTCCTCATTGCCCTGCTTACATCACCTTTCCGTTCCTTCATTTACTTGCTCCCAACGAGCCAAAAGGAGAAGAAAAAAGCTCGAAGCCCCAGCTTCGTGACAATCGATAGGAGACAAGACGACGCCACTTCTGCCACTTGCATCTCCCGTCTGAGACTTGAGACAAGGAACTGGATCGCCCCCCATTTTACCTTTCAATTAACCTCCAACGTCCCCGGCCGTTTCTCCGAAACGAACCTCACCGAACCTAAGTTGACCCTGCTTGAACGCTGCAGCATTTACATCGCAGCGTATCCAAGCCTCGGATCTGCGTTGCAGGAGCCCGGACACTCGCAACGTTTCAGCCGAACCTTTGGAAACTTGTCAACTTCACCAACTATCTCCGTTAGAGTTGCGCAAGCAATCCTACAAGCTGGCAATCGCCTGTTCTTGCTTTGCAGCTGCAAATTAAACCCTCCGATTAGCCACCCATACCACGCCGCTGGGAGCTGCCTTCGATCACCATGAAGTCTGCCAGCAGACTATTCTTCCTCTCTGTATTTGCACTCTGGGGCTCTCCAGTCCAATGCGAAAGCGCCCAAGATGATTGTGCGGTATGCTGCCGTTTATTTTCTCCTTCTCTTCTTCTCGACGGCCTACGTCACCGCCACAGTGTCTGAGTACCGAATTTCCCTCTCTAACTCGTACCAGATCTCCCCCAAGGCTATTGTTTCCGACGCATGCGCCTCCTACTCTACTCTCGATAAACTGAACACCAAGGTCAAGCCACTAGTCGACGACCTCACGAGATCGACCGACTTCTTCTCACACTACCGACTGAACCTGTTCCACAAGAAGTGCCCTTTCTGGAACGACGAAAATGGCATGTGCGGCAACATCGCCTGCGCCGTAGAGACGCTCGACAATGAGGAGGATATCCCCGAGGTCTGGAGGGCAAGCGAGCTCGGAAAGCTGGAAGGCCCCCTGGCGAAACACCCTCCTCGGAAAGTGCAGCATGAGCGCCCCGAGCGGCCGCTACAAGGAAAGCTAGGCGAAGAGGTCGGCGAGAGCTGTGTTGTGGAATACGACGACGAATGCGACGAGCGAGACTACTGCGTCCCTGAAGACGAGAGCGCAAGCTCCAAGGGCGACTACGTGAGCCTCATCCGCAATCCCGAACGATTCACCGGATACGCTGGCATGGGTGCTGCCCAAGTCTGGGACGCCATCTACCGCGAGAACTGCTTCCAGAAAAGCTCGTTCCCGCACTCGGCATCATTGGGACAGTCGCAGATCCCCCACAAGGGCCCCGCGGCACAGGATTTCCGTCAGGTTCTCGAGGCAGTCGGGCGCCAGCAGGCCCTGGATCAGATGCGCGAGACGCAGCCTAATGCTCCGTTTGCAGCCCAGACTGGTCTTGAGGCCGGTGACGAGTGCTTGGAGAAGCGCGTCTTCTATCGTGTCATCTCCGGCATGCACGCGAGCATTAGCACCCACCTCTGCTGGGATTTCCTCAACCAGACCACCGGTGAATGGCAGCCCAACGTGGCATGCTACCGCGGCCGCCTTCACACTCACCCCGAGCGAATCAGCAACCTCTATTTCAACTACGCCCTCGTCACCCGCGCCGTCGCCAAACTCGGTCCCTACCTACAGGGCCGCGACTACACCTTCTGTTCAGGTGACATCGATCAGGATGCCGCGACGCGATCCAAGGTCCTCGAGGTCACCGAAGGAGCGGCGAGCGTGCCCCAAATCTTTGACGAAGGCCTCATGTTTAAGAACGGTGAGGGTCCGTCGCTGAAGGAGGACTTCCGCAACCGCTTCCGCAATGTCAGCCGCGTCATGGACTGCGTCGGCTGCGACAAATGCCGCCTCTGGGGCAAGCTGCAGACCAACGGCTACGGCACCGCCCTCAAGGTCCTCTTTGAGTTCGACAACGCCAGCGAGGATATCCCCGTCCTGAAGCGCACCGAGCTGGTCGCGCTGTTCAACACGTATGCCCGGATCAGCAGCTCTCTCGCGGCCATTAACAAGTTCCGCGCGATGGTTGATTCCGAGGAGGCCCTCGCCGCCGCGTCCGCTGCTGCGGCGGCCAAGTCTCCAAGCCCGATCCCCGACCGGGCCAAGAAGCCGCACAATGTGGTGACTTCACCAGACGCTGAGCCCAAGAAGGCCGATCCCGAGGAGGAGTACTGCGAGGACGAGCCTATAGAGGAAGACGCATTGGCGGACATGTTTGACGAAGAGTTTGGCCGCATTTACAAGGCCCTCAAGTTTGTGGTCCGCCGGTGGATCGAGGCTCCCAAGACTATGTAAGTGGTAAACCATTCACCATAGAGTAAAAAGTTGTGGGAGGAAAGAAGGCTAACAAACTGTCAACAGCTTCAATGTTCTCCTTTTCGAGCTGCTGCGATTATACCAGTACTTTATCGGTCTGCCCGTCACGCCTAGAACCTGGCACTTTGAGCGCCCGGCCGTAGATGAGCTGTAGACGCGTTGTAGATTGAGTTGTTCCTCATTGTTCGTATTCTTGGTCGTTGAACATTTCAGCGTGGCATATTGTTACTTTGCATGCCCGGGCGGGGGTAAATGGCGTTTATTGATTCTTTATTTTAAGGAGCTAGAGTGCTTCTAGACTAGTATCGTGACCAGTCTGTACATATCAATCGATGCCAGCACCCTGAAATTTGACTTGCGTTTCTTGGTATCACAAAGTGTTCATGGTTATGCGTGTTCCTATGTCATGTGCTCAAGTATTACTAGCCTCATTACCCCCAGTGAGATACTCGGCTTATGTCGAATACTTCACTCGTACAAGCCGCCCTCGGTGCTGCTGTTTCTCCTCTTCTTGGACGGGTTACTCAAAGGGATGTGAGTGACAACGTTGCCAATCTTGGCCTTGACACCCGAAACCTCAATCTCCCATTTGCGTATGCCACGAAACTCTGGCGTCTTCAACAAGCCGTAGGTCCGCAGACACGCATCTTCCTCAGGCAGCCCAAACGTCCATCCAATACTCACATGGAACGCGTCGTCAACCAGCTCAGTCGCGTGGGCTTGGTACAAGGGCGGATGGTCGAAACGAACAGCGACGCCGTTGCACTTGTTGAGCAGCGTCCGGAGCTGCGGGTTGCTGCCGGTAGTAGTGGCATTGCCGCCGGAGCTGGCGTCACTCTGCGACGAGGCGGTTGGGCATGCTACGCGGAGTACGAGGAAGGCTCGATCCGAATCTGGCGATCTGAAGAAGCCGAGACCTCGGGGCGATAGACTGAACTCGCCGGTAGCCGAGGACAAGGCAGACGTCCAGGAGGAGAGGAAGGCGTCCTTTTGCGTCGTGGTCAGGGACAGAGGCCGCGAGAGCGAGATGTGGAGTGGCAGGGGAGCGTTGAGGTCCGAAGTCAGAAGCGGGCGCAGCTCTTGCGTGCCAAGCAGAGGCGCGATTTCGTCTAGCAGGGCAGTGAGGAGGGAGTGCTGGTCCGCGGTTGGATGCCCTATATGGAGAGGTCAGTATAGTTGAGGCGAGGTGTGTAGCTGCGAGAGAAATGTATGCTTGAGACTCACATTCAATGTATACGTGAGAAGGCCAGTTGCCGGCAATATGGGGAATGGTCCTCTTTCGGCCCTGGTGCAAGGCCGGGTTATCGGCAGTAGCATTCCGCACCGTAGAAGCGTACAGGTCGTGGAACTCAGCCGGGAGGGGTGGAAGCGTCGATGCGCCACCATTTGTCTCCTTCGTGGTCGACGTGGTGGCAGGGTTATGTCGAGTTTCTTTCCGACTGCCGGCGCCGGCTGGCACGGAGCCGTGGGTCTCCTCTTTGCGCCGCTTGGCCGGAGGTGACCCGGCCTCTGAAGCTGAGTCAGATGACGAGTAGTCCACAAGAGCCATTGCCGGGTGCCAGGGACCGACAAAAGGAAGGCCGGAGAGTAGATCCGGGTGATGGGTGTTTCTGCGTCTGTGAAAGGGTTATCGAGCCAATAAGCGTTGAGCGGGTGTTCGGTACTCTTGGTCCACCGTCCAACAGTTCGTCGCTTGAAAACGTTCAGTGGTGGTCAGTAAAGGTGGTACCTTAATACAAGATGGAGGCATTGGTAGGTGGAGGACGATGAAGCGGGCACCGGCCGCACGTCGGATAGCGGTTTGCCTGTTATGAGAAGCGGCATGCGGTCGAAGCTTTGTTGCAAGATCTCGATCGAGGTGCGCCCAGGCACGACACCACAACGCCTTTCCACCATTTGATGGGCACCCAGGCTGCAGGAAGGCTTTTTTTTGCTTTGCAATATGTTCACGGGTTCGGGCGATTTCTCTGGCATAGTGTCAGACAATACTTTGATCATTAGTCTTCCTCTGTTATGGGTTCGGCATAACATTGTGCAAATGAGAGCCCCATTTCTCGATTTTTATTTTTTTTCTCTTTGCCAGTAAGGAAATGCCGACGACCATAATTTTAAGCTCATTGCTCTTAGTTGCTGGCGGTGAAGGCTGTTCCCGGTTGGGCGACGTGTTCCCGCAAGGTGTCGTGGGCAAGGATTGCTCTGACCAGAGGGGCGATGGGACGTGGACCGGACCCTTCCCGTATGCCCCCCGTTATACGGTCTGGTAATATGCCGCGAGTCCCTTGCGTGCTGAGTACTGACAGAGTGGAAGAGGCGGAGGTGGATGGAGCATACGTGGACGCTTCGGCCACGGAGGCTCCGTTGTATCTCCGTTTCTTTGTTCATATTAGTTGCCGGTGTCGGTGCCGTTTACGTCCCAAGTGTCCGCGCATTCCGACTCTATTTTTGCGCAGCACTAACACGTATGACTTGTTCTTGTAATTTCGCGGCTACAATATCAGCCCTGCAACTATTGCGGGATACCTGGAGGCCAGAGGCTAGAGGCTAGGTGGAAAGGTGAAGTGGGATGTTGAGGTTGCCGATCCCCTGACTAGAGGATTTTTTGACTTTGCCAATGGCATGACGTAGGGCTCAGTAACCAATGAATGCGATGTCCGACTACTGTGCCAGTGTGCAGTAGACGTTGTTCAAGGGTCCGCGTGTCCCGTTATCGGGTGCCTGTGGCTGAGCTAAGTTAATTTAGCGGGCAAATGTTTCGTTTCTTCTCGTGTCCTGCCCTACATATTCGCGCTCCGTCGAGGATGCCGTTATAAGACCCTGCAGGGATCGTGACAGTATGAGCGGAGCCGCTGAGGGGAAGAGGAGAATATGGAACCGCACGTGAGAGACGTCGGAGAGGCTCGGGGGGCAGTAGTGGTTCGGGGCCGATCTCGTGATGCCGGAACAAGGGAGACTGCGAAGTTTTGATCACCGAACATGAGGTGTCGAGGAGGAAATGGCAATGGGCGCTGACATTCTTTCTTCAGCCAGTTCAGGAAGGAAGGAAAGATAATGCAAGGTACGGCGGCAGGTATCATACGAGGGAAAACCTTCAATCATCTGGTAATATTATCCTAGAGAGTGACTTCCTTTGAGAAAATTGCCCAACGCTGCAAATGGAAGGCACCCTCGGACAGTAGCGAGTCCCCCGCCTTCTTGCGTGCCTGCCCACACCATCCAGTCATGCGGTCTCGGTCCCGTCCCTTTCTTTCCCCTTCATCCCCCTCCTTCCAACCAGACATGAAAGTTCCCCAAGTCCAGGTTCTTGTCACTGCAGCCACAAATCACAAAAAACACCACAAACGAGGTTGCTACCTTATGCAGTAAGGTACATGTCACCAATGGAAAGCTCGGCTGCCCCAGTCAGCGCAGGTCCCATGATGGTCATTTCCTATGCTGGCATCTTCCTGGAAGTCCAAGCAATAGGCGCAGAATTCTCTGCGCTTGCTGCATTCGCACACTGAACACACTCTTCTTACTCACGCTCACGCCTACCTTGCTGTGTAAAGTACCTTACCTCTCGTACCTAGTCTCACTCACATGCAGCCGACCTGCCTTACAAGGACGGGGTCTACAAGTCCAAGGTAGGAATGGGCCTGGACTGTCTGTGCCTGTCATCGGCTTTTCGCCCACCCTCATGCTCATAACTCTATTGCCCCTCGCCTGGCAAGCACCTTACTTCTTTCCCACCAAACGGAACAACGGGCGAGACTGGAAACTATCAAAAGGGCACTCGCGCCTACTTTTTGGTGCCCTCGGGCTTCCACGTTTTCTCAACTCTCGTCTGTTGTCTGCATTGCATTGCTTCGCTTCGCATCTCGCATCCTTTTCTTGACACGACACTTCAACTGTCCCTCTGCTATCTGCCAACTCACCGTCGGTGTACCGCATACATTGCCTACACCGAGATCACTTCGCTGTCTTGGCCAAGGACGGACTCGCTTTCGGATCGTTCGAAATAAACATCGCAATCTCCAGTAAACGAGCTGCCAACCTGGTTCGAGGCTCCCGCTAGACCACTTGCTCATATCTATCCCTACCTTGACCCATCTTCGCAGCTTCGGCTGTGCACCGGTAACCCGATCACCTCACCGGAAGGATACACACGCATTCACCGGTATCGTCGCATCGACGTCAGTAGCCATGGACGGGTCCGACAAGCAGTGGGTAAGTCAATGGCCTGGCCAAACTTCAATTCAACTCTATCTGTCCCGGCGCACCGCGCACTATTACAAGTGCCAGCTGTTGCTGTTGTTAATATTATCTCTTCGCTCATTTCCCGATTGCGCGCTACTGCCAACATCGTCATCGCCCACGGTTCTTTTTCTGTTCTCGCCTTTCTCCACATTTCCGATCCCGTCACCGTCGCATCTGCGGCCTTATCATTGCCCTTCTAGCCCGTCTCCCAATGTTCCATATTCCGTCACTCCCGGGCACCCAAACAAGTCTCGGCCCAACCAGTCACACAGTCACCTTGTTCAAGTGTCGTCAGCCTTGGTCGAAGCCGATCGTCCCGTCTCGCCCATCCTTTCTATCCTGTCAGGGCACGCGACGGCCCCAGCTGCTTGCGCCCGAACTTGTTCTTCAAAGCCACCCTCTCCGTCCAAGCTACCCCTGCCAACTTAGATGTGCTGGTCGCTAAGGTACGGACGGGTCCCCTGCAATGCACGGCTCAAGCCACCCAGACCACGCCGCTTTGGAGTCCCTTCTTGCGTCACTGCCCATCCAACCTGCCGGGTTTCCAAGAACAGCTCCGAACTCTGCCTCACATCATTCGTACTGCAGCTAAGCCCTTGACGACGTAAATAATACGGGTCCCTCCACATAAGCATGCGCGGCCTCTCATTGCTCTTATACTTGCTATCTCCTCACGTTACTTGACATTGACTCACATTTGCTCTACCATTTCACATCCATCAATTAACTCAACTCTTCTAGGCTAAAGCATATTTGCTCGACCCTCTCACTGCCCCCGAACCAAGCCAAGAAACAGGCCCCGGAAGCTCATTCATAAACCCCGATCCATTGCTTCGAACTTTCTCGCAGAAGAAGAAAGGCAAAGAACCAGTTCAGAACAGCGACAAGAGTCAGACTAGTCACAGAGCTCACAGCCGCACTTCATCATATCCTACTCCGCCTGCATCCGCCAGCCCAACTCGGTCCAGCTTTCACTCATCCAATCCGTTCTCGCCGACTTATAAGCGCGCTTCATTGTCCTTGTCTGGAGGACCTGCATCTCCAGCATCGCCCTCTTCGCCAAACCATCCCCTAGGCCGTAGTACCAGTGTTCGAAGCAACGGATTCCGAAGCCCGTCTTCGCCAAGCAATCGTTTCCCGCCAAGCACGAGTGTCACTCGAAGCATTAGCGCACGTACTCGCTCCATTGTCGAGGAGAACGCAGTCCAACCCAGTTCTTCGGTTCAGCGCAGCAAAAGCGTGAACTCACACCAAGGCTCCAGCGGTCTCAGACGCTCCAGTTCCATCAACCAGAGGTTTCCAGGCGATATGTCTCACCGACCTCTAGACATGATCAAGCGCGAGCAGCGCGCCGCAGACCGCGCGCCTCATCTGAGGACGCGCAAATATGGTCCCGTAACGGACACCATTGACTCGCTCGATAGTATCGGCGGCGTCTACCATCATGGCGGCCCCTATGATGCCACCTTAGCGTCTCGCAACCGCAACAAGAGATACGCGCCTGTTGAGGCTGTCAAAGAGTCTAACATGGAAGCCCTGAAGGCTACGCCTCGCGAATACATTCAAGACTCCCTGGAAAAGCATGTGCCGTTGCAAGGTACCGGCCTCATTCCCGCCGGAGGCACTGACATGAGCGGCAACGTTATGAACTATGAGGAAGGAGCCGATCTCATGCGTGAGCCTAATAGCCAAGGTGGTGCGTACAAGAGATGGGATGGAATTGTAAGTTGATATCACTTCTGAAAACATGCAACTTGAGACTAATCCAAAACAGCAATACCACCCTGATGATCTGAAGGGAAAGGGAGAGCCTTCTTACACCTACGAGAGAGATCTTAAGGAGAAGAAGCGTATGCGCAAGGCGTCTCTCGGCAATAGCCCCGCAGAATACGAGATGCGCTCCGGCGTCAACGCCCAGTCACGTAAGGACAACGGGGCAATGGTACGTCAGCGCAGTGTCAGCAATGCTGCAGACGGAAGACCCGGCCCCTCCGAACTGCCCAAGGGACAATCCAACAGCGCCGACGTTCATCGTCACAATTTCGGCGACAGCCTGAAGCGTCGTTTCGGTAGCATTCGTCGCAAGAATCACGCTGCGGCGTAGATGAATTTTGCGACCAATATTCGATTGTTTCCCACGTATTCCGACGGCGTTAAGACTTAATGTTTCAACAAACGTCGACTTTAAACTGGCACCAGCATTTCAATAAGTGTCGAGTATTTCGGCATGTGTACGATGAAGAGGTTTCGTGCCTAAAAGAAAATGCCTTGTGGCGGGAAAATTGTTAGAACGAGGACAGAGTGCGCAGCATGCATTTGATTGTCAACGAGTAAAGACATTGATGATGGAGACGAGTTGGCATCAACATTCTGCCAAAGAACAAGAGGCCTGCAAACGATATACCGCATCATCAAGAAGGGCGGCAATTTTCTTAGTTTTAGTCAATAGTATACCCATTAGTATGATACCTTTCTACACCCTTTATACCAAGCATGCGAGTGACTGTTCCACTTCTTGATGGCCGCGGTTTGATAATAACATCTCACGAGTTCTTCAAAAATGACGCCTTGAAATGAATTATACTACACGAGCGCTACGCTTTGCTCTATCTCGGATGTTTTCTCATCCCTAATAAGGAAAAGCTGCCAGAGGATCAAAAAACCCATCAGCAGCTCCTCCCATCTTGCTTTTCGTTTCTTAATCCCCATTTCTCAAACATTTGCCAAAATTCCAAATTCTCGCCTCATTTTTTAGATCTATCTAAAAGAAAGGCTAGGAAAATAAATCTACTTTTTAGAAGTAGGCCATACCGCTCCATCCCAAGACACCTTCCAGCTCGCTCCTGACCTCGAGGATGTCGCCGTAGCCGCCCTTGCCGGCGACTTCGAAACGGCGCCCGGCACCGAGCTCGTTCCAGCGGGCGAGGAGCGCGCCGTCGACGATGCTGCGGCCCGCGCTGGTGTCTACGCCAGGCGTGCGCGCGTCGAGGGGCTGTAGGCGGTGGGCTTTAGGGTTCGTCGCCGCGGCCTGGGGCACGGCGGCGGCGATGCTGTTGGCAAGGGATGTCAGGCGGCGGTAGGCTTGTTCACCAAGAGGGTTGAGAGAGGCGAGGGCGCCGGTCGGGGAGGCGAGGAGGAGGGTCGTGGGCGGGTTCTTGGAGGCGTTGGCCGACGACGGGGAAGCGGTCGTTCGGGGGAGGGAGAGGGTTGCTGTCGGGTGGTTTGGGGCCGCTGAGAAGGAGGCGCGGTTCAGGAGGAGATGACCCTGGAGGGATTTGGGATCTGTAGGATGTTAGTTTCTGGGACTATGGACGATTGGATAGTGCTCAAGAGTTAGACTTACGCTCTGGATCGAATTGCATCACGTGGATCACGCCGTCCTTGTCGCAGACGACAATGTGCAGCTCGTCGCCGGCAACGACAAAGTCAGCCGTCGAGACCTCGAACTTGCCCGCGCTCTTGCCAAAGAGCATCATCTTGTACGGCTCCTCGGCGTACCCGACGAACCAGACGCCCTTGAAAGCGTCCGTCATGAGACAGTAGCCCGTGCCGCGGACCTCGCGCACCGCCGTCACGTGGCAGTTCATGTCCATGAAGGCGACGGGCAGAAGCGTGCCGTCCTCCTTGAGACCGCGCACCATGCACTTCTGGCCCTGAGCGACGAGCATGAGACCCTGGGAGCCGACCTCGCAGATAGCGGTGACGGCGCCGCGGGGGATCTCCTCTTTGGCAACGAGCTTCAGCTTCTTGTTTGTCTCTGGGCGGCCGGGTTGCGGCACGACGGGGACGACGTCGTAGACGAGGATACGGCCGCGGATGGGCAAGTCCTCGCCGCGGTTGATGGCGGTACCGATGGTGATGAGCATGCGGCGCTCCTTGGTTTCCTCAGAGACTTCCAAGTGAAGGGTCTTCATGCACATTGCTACCTCGTGCTGCTCGAGCTCGACCGTGTCGATGACAGACCACGTCGTTGGGCTCATGAGCTTGATGATGCCGCGTTCGGTCCGAGGGTATATGGTCGTGGTCTCCTTAGCCCATTCCTTGTGATAGTCATCGTCCTTGGGCAGCTCAAAGGCCTCAGAGACACTGCACGCAACGGCGTAGGTCTCCATTGGCGGATGGTAGGCGATCAGGCCAACAGCATCACCCACCGGAATCTTGCGCACAGAAACGCCCAGTTCGGCAAAGTTCGCGTCTGCAGGGAGCTGTGTGACGCGTGTTTGGCCCTCCGAGTCAGCGTAGATAAAGCCACGCTCGCAGCCTTCTGTATGGAAGGAGCTCATGCCGCGCACACCAATACCCTGCAGGCCGACAACCTTTGGACTACTCTTGGCGGACTTGATAATGAAGGATGGCGAAGCGCCAGGCAGGAAGACGGTGCTGTAACCGTTTATGTCACTGCAGGCTCGGAGCGGAACAAAACGCGGTTGCTCGTTGGCGTCATCGTCGGCAACTTCAACAGGACTCTTGGCAAGAGAAGGGTTGTTTATTTTGCGGAAATGAAGACTCTTTGCGAGACCTACGGTTTCGTCCTGCGTTTTAAGACGAATCGGTTCGTATATAGTGAGGTCGTCATTTGCGTGACGAAGCTTTTGGGACACAAGATCAGTGGAAGCAATCAAAGGGATCCAACTCTAAAAGACTTACGACGAGGTGTGGTGAAGTCGCGGTGGCGTCTCCAAGGTCGGCCACCAAGATCTCAGTCAGCGTCTCTTGGACGGTGCCTCGTCTGACGGCATAGTCTGCAGACAGGAAAGGGGGGACATAGGTCAAGCCAGCAGCAACGTAGACTGGCTTGGAAAGGTCTGGGAGGGCGTATATCTGTGGATATGTAAGCAAAAATGTCTGCCAGTCAGATATTACTCGATACCCACGTAGAGAGCCCCTGCTGCACTTAGCAAGAACATGAAAATGCTGTGATCTTCTGTCGCGGCCTCGCCTTTTGGCTTCTGGCCAAAGAGACCGTTCGTGTCTTTGTACAGGCATCCCGCGAGCCACTTTGTTGAGAGAATAGTGTCGTCTTCTCTTTCCATCTCTTCCAACTCGCAGTTGCTATCGATCTGAGCTACCATAATGCTCGAGTCGTCTCTAATGAGGAGAAGGTAAGGGTCAACGATGCTGGCGCTGATCACCCGTGGTTCGGCACCTGTATCCTCGTCGAGCATCGGAAGGATTTGGCTTAGCCCGAGATCTGTAAAACCATTAGCAACGATGACGAACGCCTCGAGGCAAAGGACAACACGACTTACCTCCATCATAGCACCGTACTTCCGATTTGAGAACCTGAATGATCCTCAAATGCTTCCCCATAGTACCTGCCTCCACCGTGAAGCCTGCCGCGGGGTCAAATTCTGTCCCTGACAACGCCTCAAAACCAGCGCCAGTAAGAGCATAAACGTCTGACGTCTCGTATCCATCAAGATCGACCTTGGAAACAATCATAAACTTGTCGTATATAGATGAGGCGTCAAACTCGCTACCAACTGCGGCATTGGCCCCCTTGTCGCCCTGCAAGGACTTTGGGATGGGTTTCTGGACGCACATGGTCCAGAACCCTCTGGCCTCTGGGAACTCGAATTTGCCAATGACCTTTGGCTGAACATTCTGGTTCATGATGGCAACAGCGCCGGCGTTGCCCTTACCCACCGCACAGGCGAGTTGCAGGTCGGATACGACACCGATCGAGTTCTTCTCTTCCTCGCTATCTGGTATGAACGCTTGCTTGCCCGACACCATGTCCTTGATGGGCGCTATGCTCAGCAAGGAATCGTGAATGCGGAAACTCAAGTCTCCCCCTTTGGAAACCCCATTGGCAGTCGCACCGGGTTGAATCATTGTTGTTGTCGTTTCACCGTACAGATCGTCGTCGTCGTCATCATCCATATCTTCGTCTTCCAGGTCGTACTCGAATGACTCGTCGACCAATCGTGTTTTTCTGCGTGCATTCTGCGCCTGCTTTCGTGTCCAGCCAAGTACAAGCGAGTCACTTCCCGTAGTTCCTAGGAAGAAGACATTCTTGCTGAGTTTCGAGATGGAGGAGACACTGCACTGGACAATGCTGCCGCCAACTTCGGCCGGAACAAGCTTGACACTGACCCCTGAAACTGTGCGTCCGTCAATCTTGAAAGTGATGATGGCCAATCGCCCGTCGCTCAGGACCATCAGCAACTCCCCGTTCTCGGCAGACATCAATTCGATGTAGCAATGCTCGAGCCGCATATCCAGATCAGACTGATCTGCAAGAGGGAAGTTTGTGGTTTCTTTGGTGAAGGCATTAACGGCCACGCCATTCGGCTTTCCAGACTGATCTATATGGATCAACTCGTTCGTGCCGACGAGTAGGGCGCCCCCGACGGGACCTGGCAGGGCAATGACTTTGAAGAGGTCCTGGGGTAGGTTGTTGACGGAAAGAATCGCGGTCGAGGCTCTCTGTTGCAAGTCTAGAGTGAAAACCTTGTAAGAGAAGTGGTCTTTGCGAGGTAAGGTGTAGGAGCGGCGTTGTGTCGAGGATATGATGCCAAAGGTGGGCTCTCTGTACTCATGCAAGAAGGCGAGGTGCACAGGATGAAGGAGACTGGGATCAAGCTGCGGAAGAGGGAGGACGTATGATGTTGAGTATGGTACATCTGCTATGTTGCTAGTTCCATTTGTGGCCGCTGCAGCTGACGGCTCTTTTGCCGGCCGAGGTCCATCCACATCTTCATCCCAGTCATCCATATCTATGTCCTCATCGGCTTGCTTGAAGGGTAGAAAGGCGATGTACCTGGGGCCAAACCTAAGGGCGGCGCATCGCGAACCAGGATCGGCAGCAAGATATGTGCGATAGTTGTTCAATGGACCGTCGAATGGCGAGCCCTCCAGCTCTTCTTTCTCGTAGTAGTGGATGGAGATATCCTCGAGTGCATGTTTCTCGGGATCCCACTGGACCAAGCTCAGCCTAGCAACTCTTGTAGCAATCAGGAGAGCTTCACCTCCTGACTTGGAGTGTTGCAGTTTAATTCTTGCCAGTCCTGTCACAACGCCAAATACTGGGAACTCGGCGACAAGAACGAGCTTGGTGTTGGTTGATCGATCGGCGCGAACCAGCATGCCGTCGCCGCCCAGGAAGGAAGACTCGAGGCCGTCATCGTCGTTCAATCGGCGGTCGTAAGGCTCGTCGGCCCTAGAAGTCTGTTGCTCTCGGGTCTGCGATGTGTCGACTTCGGAAGAAATGGTCTTTGTCGAGAAGATCTGCAGTAAAGAGCCCTTGGCGACGACCAGATTGTTGCTTTGCGCCGAGAGGAAGGGGAAGCTGAGACTGTACTGCACACCAGTGGGTGGCGTGAGCTCTGTGTAGCACTGCATCTTGACAGTCTCAGGCAATTGCCCCCGGAGCCCTTGCTGTCATTAGTGTATGAGGGTGATGTATAGGATCGTAGGTTTGCGGAAGCGCAAGGTGGGAGGTTGCCTGTCGCAAATCAATCGAACAATAGCTCCTTCCAAGAGCTCTGGTCGCGCAAAAGCCCATGAGAAGCGTGTCACGCATTCTGATTGGTGAGATTTAGGCAAGCGGATCAAAGAAAGAGCCGAATCTCCGGGGCATCCAATGTTGCAGGTGCAGGTGCTGCAGCAGGCCTACAGCGATCTAGACCTCAGCACTTGCAGCACTTGCAGCACTCAGCAGCCCCCTGTGCCCCCTATCAGCTCTGTGACGCTCAGGTGCAGCAAGCACACTGAGGCAGGCAAGCTAGAGATTGACTGGGAGCTGGGGCCTCGCTAAAACCTGTCGCCACACGGCAGGAGCTAGCAGCTCAGGCAGTTAACTCTGCTGTCTGTGTTACGTCACCCGGCGCAACCTCTACTGAGGCATGCTAAGCTAGAGCTCCCCAAGCACCGAGGAATTAAGCAGTGAAACAATGACGATGCCCACAGCTCTGCGCCAGCTCTATTGATTTCTCGGAAAACATCAACAAAGGTCTACTTTACGGCCAAAGAATCGCCATCGAATACTGCAACCGTACGGCCAGCCCACGATTCATCATGGCCAACGCAGGCCTACTCCAGACCAGTCTGATCTGGGTGGCTTACGCCGCCGCAGTCGTCTTCTGCCTCCTGGCTGCCATCATTACCACCTTCACCTGGCAGACGCCCCGGGAGCGATCCGCCATTGTCAGCATCGTCGCTATTGTCAGTCTGACGGCCCTCCTGGCAACCGTCCTTCTCTTGCCTGTCGACATTGCCCTCATTTCCTCCACAACACACGCATCGCTTGGCGTGAAGAAGGACTGGGCTACCGAGGCGCGAGTCCACGATATCCTTCAGACACTGCGCATCGTCTACTATTCCCTCTATAGCTTCGATGCTTTGCTGTGTCTCTTGATCATCCCGTTCGCCTACTTCTGGCATGAGGAGTACGATGAGATCGAAGTCGAGGAAGGCCGGTCGTTCAGCAGCCGCCTCATTAGCGCGCTGAAGTACACACTCGTCTTCGTCGTTCTGGTCTTGATCCTCTTCCTGGTCGGCTTCTTCGTACCTGCCGCCGGCGATCACAACGGTGCTCACTGGGACCTGGACTACTTCAAGCGCATTCTGGTTCAGAACAACGGCCAAAAGGCGCTTGCCTTTGCTCTTGGACTCCTCGTCACTCTCGGGGTTCTGCTGTATGTCATCTACACAGCCGCCGGACTGGCCCTGCTTCCCATGTCCTTCATCAAGTCTGCGCCCTCGATTTCTGCGCCTCAACTCACCGAAAGCACCGCAACGGCCTTGGAGCAGAACCGGGAGCGCCAGCGCCAGCTGGAGATGCGCAATGCCGGTCGCCCTGAGGGTATGTCGTCCAAGGACAGGCGTGAACTCGAGGCACTGGTGCGCGAAGAGCGCACTTTGACGCGTCGCGAAAGACTAGCAGCCGAAGCCTCCGGCGAAGGCCGCAGCACTATCTATAGATTTTGGCTCAAGGTCTGCGCCGTCTTCCGGCCCATCAAACTTCTCGGCGGTATCTTACTGCTCTTGCTTTCCGTCTTGATCTGGGTTTCCATGTTGATCACGGGCATCGACAAGGCGAAGAACTCCTTCTGCAAGGGCAAGTGCGGCTACATTCTGGGTCACATCAACATCTTCCAACCCATCAACTGGGTCTTTATCCAGTCGGCCAAGGCCTTCCCCATTGACTACGTTTTGATGGCCCTCTTGGTCCTCTTTTTCTTCAGCAGTTCAATCACGGGTATTGCAACCATCGGCATCCGATTCTTGTGGGTTCGCATCTTCCAGATCCGCAAGGGACGTACCGCGCCGCAGGCTCTCCTCATTGCGACCGTCATGCTGGCCCTCATCATCCTCGCCATCAACTACACCATTGCAAACATGGTTGCTCCCCAGTACTCCATGTACGGCACTCAGACATACTGCACAGCTCCTCACCACGCTGGCGAGACCCCCAACTGCAAGGACAGGCCCGATTATCTGGTGCAGTGCTCCGAAGCGCTGGATCCCGAGGCCCTCAAGGTCTGCACGCCTTCCATCATGGCTGAGTTCCTCAACCGCATCGCAATCACGTGGCCCTTCTTCGGCCTGGTAGACTTCTGGGCCCAGTTTGTCTTCCTCGGTATTTTCCTCGTTGTTTTCACAACTGGACTCTTCCGGGCTCCCAAGCTCAATGTGTCCGAGGTCGATGAGGACGCCGAGGAGGACGAGGAGGAGGGTCTGCTGGCAAGCACCGGTCGTAGGTTCGGAGCGACGTGGCAAGACATCACGGGCCGCACCAAGAAGACCAGCTACGGTACGCAGGAGGGAAACAATGGTGCCGGGTCCTCTGAGGAGGCCTAGTTGAATGGTTGAGATTACCTTGATATCAGGACTGTTGTGCCGAGCATATACGGGAAAGGGTTGTAAAACAAGCACATTGCATATCATCGACAGGTATGGGAAGCGTGCAATTTTGTACTGGAACACGGGTCAAGGCACACACACGATGGCGGGAAGGGAATGGGACCGGGTCGGTAGTCTTTTTTTCTTTCTTTCTTTTAGCGACACAGAATGCTCAGAAATCGTTTACATGCTCCTCCTCATGACGCTCCCAGCATAACCCGTCTTTCGCTATCCTTCCCTGGCTTGACGAACCGGACGGCCTTGTGCGTCCGGTCGTCAAAGGCCGCTGCTGGGCCGACGTGCATCTCATGCCAGCACCTGGTGCAGTAGACATCCTCGCAGGCAAGGCACTGCAACGTGCCGTCCTCCAGGCAGACCGTACACCACGTCGCGGCGTCCTCGTCGGTGTAGCCCGTCTTGGACGTCAGGCGCTTCTGCTTCACGGAGCGGTCTGCGGGCTGGAACGTCGGGACGGAGGGGAGACCCATGCCGCCAGCGCCGGCGGAGGATCCTCCGAGACCGCTGAGCGCGGCCATGCGGGCCGCAATGTCGTTGTCAAAATCGGATGCGGCATCATGTTTGGGCGCGCTAGAGGGCACGGAGGGGAGTCCAAGGTCGGGGAGGCCGCCGCCCTGGGCTTCGTTGCCTGCCTTTGGGGCACCGATGGTTGAGGGTACTGAGGGGAGTGAGAGATCCGTGCCGCCATCACCTCCACCTTGATGATCTTCCCGTGAGGCATCTTGGCCTCCGTACTCGTTGCCCGACGTTGGTGGAACAGGCTCTTGCCGAGAGTTGTATCTCGCCTCCTCTACAGCCTGTGAGAGCAAGTCATCCACCTCGCGGCCCATTTTTCCGCCATCCGAATCATCATCATCGTCTCGGCCGTCAGCAGAGCCATCTCGCGCATTGCCCCTAGACGGATCCACCGAAGTCTTCGAAAGCTCTTCTAGTAGCGCGTTCACCTTGGCGGACTCATCGTTGGAGGAATGAGATTGCCACTGCTGCGGCGAACCACCAAAGTCCTCATCGCTGAGCAGATCCTCGAGGGTCTGGTCATCCGTCTGCAGGAGGGGATCGACGTCATCATCCCCCGCTTCTACCGTCGGAGCCGCCGGAGCCGGAGCGGTGGTGGACGACGGCGCGGGCGATCTCGAGGACTGATGCTGCTGCGGCTGGGACTGGGGCGGTGCTGCTGCTGCTCCTGCTCCTGGTCCTCCCGTGTGGCACCATCCCCGCGATGGGGACGCCGGAGACTGCGACTGCTGACCGAGACGAGAGCTCGCTGGTGTGGTGACCTTTGCGGTCTGCTGGGGCAGCGGTTCCTCACGCTCGGGTGTGTTTCTCAGGGACCTCAACCGAGCGGCCAGTGCATCTTCCCTCGAGGGCGGCTTTGCTGGCTCGATGCCCGTGAGAGAGACATTCAGGGCACTTGTAAAAGAAAAAACCTTAGCATGTTGGTTATCCCGAAGATGCCGGTGGCCTTTTCTTCTTATTTACTTTGATGACCTGTCCATTGACACTCCGGGACTGCCGCCCTTCAACGCGCTCAGGCGGTCCAGTAGACTCTTGTCGGGGCCGCTCATATTCAAGGTCTTTTCTCTTCTCCTTTGGGACCTTTGGATCTAAATCTGACCGAGACCGAAGGTGTAGGTAGGACGCGGGTATAAGGGTAATAAGGATAGAAGACTTTGTGGTCAGACAGATTCAATCCGAGGAGACGAGACCCCGCACATCGGTGTGATAAGTTGAATCAAATGAGCTTGTATTGATGCTAGGGGGTTGAGGTGTGCGCCCGATGGTGGAGGTAACAATAAGCACGAGGTCGAAAAGGTCCGAAAAAAGTGGCGCAAGGCAACTCGCGAGGCATCCAGGGACGAAAGAAATCGATGTTGAAGAATATGGAGCCAAAACTTCCAGTCGTCTGGGGTACCGACGTTCGTTGCTGATAGGCTTGATTGATGGACTGCTCTACCGGTATGACCTTTGATACAACAGGGCCGGTGAGCAAATGTCAGATCATACTCCGTACAGTGAGAGGGTACGATTGCCTGTGATGGGATCCCGTTCCGTTAGCTGGCACAAGGTATCCGTACTCCGTACTGTTTGAATGGTTGCTGGCTGACCAGAGTGAGAGGCGAGCAATGGAAGTGCGAGCTGTCCGCTCCGCTAACTGGGCGAAATGTGATGTGCACAGCCTCAGATTGGAGTCATTGCTCAACTGACAACCACTGGGCATTAGCCACCAAATAAGCTTGAATAAGCGAGATGGGGGGGGGACATTGTCACCCCGGGGCTCTCATTAGGCAGAAACTTGCGTCCTGGCGGGCGAGTGGCTGTGTGCCAAGGTACCTTCCAAGCTCACACCGTCGGTTGCCACAGTCCCCGAATTAATCCTCTTGGCACCGCCCGACTCTGCTTAGATGCTCAGGTTATCGACACTAAAACTCCCTGTTGATTAGGTATTCGATTTTTATTCGATTCCGTAGAGAGGCGGTGATGGAGATACCAAACGGCTGATGGGATGGTTTACAGACTAGACAGGCGATCGTCTACCGTGGGCCGTGGCGAAGCTTCTTTCCACTCTGCTATGGAGGGAGGGCTCACTCTGTACCCTGTTGGAAACGACCTTGACGAATGCAAACGGAGTGCGGTAATGGTTGTTTTATGTCTGTGGGATGGGCATACCGCCACGAACAAACGATCGGTGCCTTCGTGGCGCATTAGAAACGCCGTCACCGAAGCTTATGCCAGGGCTTAGGCAACGCCAGCCATGGATTTCCAAAAGGGAAAACAGCCTACGGTATGATCCTCGATGGGAACGGATCCATATGTTGGGAAGGATCCTCTTCGGCTGTGCCGCCACCTTTTGGCTCTACCAAATGCTGACTGCCTGCCCATCGTGGTGTGAATTGGAAAAAAAGGGAGAGAGCCTGTCTCGAATTATAAGATATCCAAGGCTTCCGCTTCCCCATCGTCATCGTTCCATTCAAGGCCTTGGAGAAAACCATCTCACCAAACACAAAAGAGCCTCCTTACTTTACCAACTTCACCGAGCGGCAAGCAAGTACCCTGCTTGCATCATAGACTGCGACACCCCTACATCCTAAGAAAGACACTTTCCTAAAAAGAGGACGCACCCAAGCACCGACCCCAATCCTTCTTTCAACGGCCTGACTTCATCGCGCATTCCAACCGCCGCACACACACCTAAGAAATCCCTTAGGCGCTGATCCTAAAGTACCTTACCAACTTACCCCAACAACGCCGGTAAAGCGAACTCCGTTTTACCCAAATCCTACCGAACACAGCCAAGCAATCAAGAGCGGAAGGCGCACAAGGGAAGTGTGGGAAGCAACCACACTCATTCAGGGCGTACCAATTCTTCCGGCCATCCGTCATACCTAGTGTGGTGGCAACCGGGCCATTCAGTCTATTACACATCACCATAACCATCGTCTGACGGCATATTGGACCAGTCCGAGCATCCCTGCCAGTGTGGATAGACCGTCACACTTCGAATCTCTTGGCACTCTGACACGCCCTGCCCATCTCTTGAAACGGGAAAGAGACAAAATTCCTCACGCTCCCACTTCCGCCTATTGCTGCAAGCTTTTCTACATCTTACAACTTGCCCATACGTATCTCAAACTTTGGCCTATTCGCTTTCGAGTCGCACACGAGACTTGCACGGCCCTATCCCGTATTGGAAATTGGCATTTACAGCGTCGCATTTCGATCAACGTGGCATACATTTACATACCTTCCTACCGAATAAGCCGAGCCTAGTAAACACATCCCACCGAAAGCGAAAATGAGATTAGATCTTGCAGTCGTCGCGCTGACGCTGCTCGCGCCCGCGTGGGCCGCCGCCGTGGAACCCGGTCTCCACGGCTCCGACGTCGCATTCCTCGCCCCCAAATCCGAGCGCGACAACACCCAGCAGGACGAGAAGCTGTGGAAGCGCAAGGGCGGAGGTGGCGGCGGCGGCGGTCGCGGCGGAGGCTCTTCTTCAGGTGGGTCCCGGTCGGGAGGTGGCAGTCGCTCCGGCGGCTCCAGCTCCGGCTCTGGTTCTTCAGGATCAAGCTCATCAAAAGGCGGTTCATCAGGTGGTTCAAAAAGCGGTGGCGGCAGCAGTGGCGGTTCCAGGTACAGACCCTCGTCTCCTTTTTTTTCTTCATCTGGACGGTCCCCGTGGAGATTGCCGTCCCCGGGCAGAAGCAGAAGCAGAAGCAGAAGCAGCAGACTAATACTAAGTCAAGCACCTCGAGAGGCGGTGCTCGCGATAGCTCTGGCGGATCCACAAGGACGGGAAGCGGACCGGTCCCAGCATACGGCGGCGGCAGATACTATGGCGGCGGCGCGACGGTTCCCTATTCAGCCGGCGCAAGGAGGGGCAACATGGTGCCGTTCCTGCTGGTCGGCGGTGCCCTGGCCTTCTGGCCCGGTCTCTGGCTTGGCGCGCACATGTATCCCTACAGCCATCCGTACCGGTACTATAACGAGACGGCCCGCCAGAACCAGACAAAGCCGGTGCTGTGCGGTTGCCAAGAGTACCAGCCCTGCGGCTGCGACGAGAACAATAGCACCGAGTACATGAACTCGCTCCTCGGCAACGGCAGCTACAATGCGCTGAACAAGTCTGTCGTCAACATTGGCGAGTACAACGGCAACGAGACCATTCTCATCAACGGCTCCCTGCCCAACGGCACCACCGCTGCTGGCGGTTCCGACGAGGTTGGCTCCGCTGCTGGCGGTTCCGGCGAGGTTGGCTCCGCTGCCTTCCGCAATGCTGTGGAGACGCTCGGTTTTTGGCCCGTTGTTGCGGTCATTGTCGCTACCGTCTTCGCGGCATAATGGACACCGATGGTGTATGTATGAATATGCCTTTGTACATTAATGATGGATGGTATCCCACGCATAAGGGTTGGCGGTATGAATGTTTTTTGAGTTTCTTGGAGTTTGAGTATGATACCCTACAAGTTGGCAGAGCCCAGGACTTTATATGATTATGGGAACGGGCCCATCGCTGGGGATCATGAATAGTCATTATCTTAGATAAACGAACGAATTAAATCTAGTATTCTTTACTATTTGAACGATCACATGCTGAGTGATTTCGTACCAGATGCTACTAGCTTGCCACCAGAAGGTGAACCGATGTCATTGTTGGAAAATGCCAACGCCTAAATATTATGCGATGTCTCCCTTCCGCCTCAAATATTTGATACTACTCATCAGCAGTGCCCTCAAGCTTCCGCGTCCGCTTCCCTTTCAGCCCGCCTACGCTCACACCAAGCACCCAGCTCCCTCCAAATCCTCTCCTTCTCAGCCGGGCGGAGCGTGGCAGCAAGACCACTCGTGCTGGTAGCAACAAACACCTTGGCGCCAGCCCACGCCTCGAACGCCTCGATGCCATCTCCCATCCCCTCCTCCTGCTCTCCCTTCACAACGACGCCCATATTCTCGCTCTCATCCTGCCACCCATACCGAAACTCCTCCTTCTTGATCCCCCTCCCATGCCTCACCCGCCAGATACTCTCCCAAATCGACTTACCCACAATACAAACCACCTCGGGCCTACACCCCCTGACCTTGTCCTCGAGGGCCCCGACGCCCTCGTCCATCTCCGCCTTGGAGAGCTCGGCGCCGTTGCGGCTCGGGCGGGCGACAATGTTGGTGTTGCCCAGCCCGTACAGCGCCGGCAGGTCGCGGTCCTCTGCGGGCGCGCAGAGGCGCGGGGTGATGCCCGAGGAGAAGAGGAGTTTCCAGAAGAGGTTGGAGGGGTGGGCGTAGACGTGGCCGAGGGCCGCGGTGCGGAGGCCCGGGTTGAGGCCGACGAAGAGGATGAGGAGGTTGGGCGCGAGGATGTCGGTTAGGTGGGGGAGGTGGGCGTAGGTTGAGGGCGGGGCGTAGCCCCCGGCGGCCTTGCGTTTGCGTTTTGGTTTTGGGGTTGGCTTTGGGTCTGGTTCTTTGGGGATGGTGAATATCTGTTGTGAGTCTTCTTCAGGTTCGAGTTTGGGAGATATGGATGCTGAGGCGAACTCGAGCGTCTTGGATTTGATGCGGCTGCCAGCCATCTGCTTGGTGACTCGGTTCGGGGATGGGACGGGGCCGAGTGGAGTCTGCTTCCGTGGACTACGACGGAGGGACAGCCGGGATGACGGGCCAGTAGGTGCAGGAGAGTCGTTGGCAGTGGTAGTCCTGGCTTGGGTGGTGCTGGGTGGTTCGCTCGTTGGGGTGAACATGAAATCCTGCATCTGAAGTCGTCCCCTGAAGCTCGCGGCCTTGGGTTGAGGCTCCGCGTCAAAGAATGGAGACTCCATAGCTGAGATATGAAGCCAAACTTTCGAGCATTAAAACTTCAGGCAAAAGGTTTCCGATTTGAGTCTGTATGGCAGTTCGAGCTCGCCCGGAAGGTGAGGCCGAGCCAGCCCTCTTCTGAAAGACAAGGCCCCAGATGGTGAGATTTGAAATGTCGAATCTTGCTTCCCGTCGAATCTTTTGTTATCGAGCAAGAGGAGAGTGGATTGCTCCGACCTTGAACCTACGATGGCGTCCTGTAATGAATGAGATTCCAGATGAAAGAGTGCATAAATTATTTGTCGGTGTCGTGAATACGCTTTTTTGGTATGGTCACTTGCAGAGCAGTACTCTCTATCCCTTGATGTACCTAGGAGTACTAGGCAAGGATTGAACCGGGGTAAACAAGTTGTCCTTCCAAAGAAAGACGTCAAACATCGCACCTCGTGGGCTTTGGACTGGTAGTTCGATTTTGAGTTTGAGGCAAGTTGAATTAAACGCTGCGTGACAGCTCCCGGCTAAAACCTCGCCACCGTGCCGAAAGGTTTAGTTGGGGAAGGTAATTACCTTGATGTTCGATTTAGGGGTCCTACCTTCCTTGGCGCCATTGAAGCGTCCGGACCCATAAAATAATATGTCTGCCGTTTAACGGCGGAAACGACTCGCAATGAGGAAGGAACCTTGGGTTGACTTTCATATGGCAGCAACCTTATAAATCTACAGTGGCCATGATGATCGTTGCCAATGGTCTTCATGGGTTAATTTGCAACCCTCATCGTAAAGTCACGGATGTTCATCGGAGAGTCAACGCTCATCGAAACGAAGGTTCAAAATCTTTCTTATCTGTCTCATCATCATAAATTTACAAAAGACGGTCAAGTCGAAGAACGAAAATCAAAAGCACAAGAACAAAACGGTGGAAGAAACCTGAACGAAGCTGGCTAGGCAGATGTTTCTCAGAGGGGATCAAATGATTATGCTTGTTATTCTTCGTCACCAGACACAGAATCGGTGTGGCTTAAATCGGCCAGATTCTGAAATTGCAATTCAACATCGAAGCATGAAGCAAAACAGAAACTCCTCCACATATGGTATATCTATCATGCACCACCAGGCCAGTATATACAATGTATCGCTATGCTCCAACAAAAAGACCATGAACCTCTCCTCTTTTACTTCCACAGCATCTCTGCCCCATTTACAGGACAATGATGTTATCCACCCTCCGCCCTTGAGTCTCGATGAAGTATTTCCTCCGAACTCCCACACCGAGGGCATTGCCAAACTTTTCGTAAGCCTCGGGCCCACCGCCGCGAATCATCACCATGGCGATGGGATGCGGCCGTCTTAGTCCCGAAGGTGTAACCTGCTCGACGTCAAGATGAGGTTTAATCATCTCGTATTCCCACAAGTCGGGGGCGCTGAAGACATAGTTGGTCTCGAGCTCCTCCTCGTCAACGATGATAACGAGCTGTAGAGATCGCGGCGAAGGTGTGTAGGAGGGGATATTGGCAATCTTTTCACTGAACGAGCAGCCTCCACGGCGCAAGACAATAACTTGATGATTGCGAGGCGCTTCATCAGGCAAGCGACCATCACACCCAAAGCCAGCTCGATAGACCGTCTGCCAAGAGAGGTTCGGAGGAGCGTCATCGCCGGGGACAGAAGCGTCAGGAACATCGGGCAGTGGAACAGCGCCTTTCCCCACTGCCAAAGCACCCATGTAGCTCTCGACGTGGAAGTTTGCCTTGGCACCAGCAGGGAGCGGCGCCGGGGTGTTGGTGGGATCAAAGACGGACGTGACAGCGCGAATCATGGACTTGAGCATGGACCTGTAGGCAGTGTTCATACTCTTACCGGCAGCCTGATCTTCTACGAGCTCAGATTGCGCCTCCTCAGTGAGCTGAACCTGATCGTCGAGGTCACTGATCTCAACCTCCAGCCCCTCAGCGGGTACCGGTGCACTGGCGTTTCGCTCTTCCGGTTCTCCGTGCATCATGATGAGCTCGACGAACCCATTATAACGAACACGGTTGAAGAGAGGATCGGAAAGGCCTTTCAGGAGGTCCGCGTCAATGTGTACCGGCTCGTCTCGCCCCAGCGGCATATGGTTGACCTGGGTGACCCTCCAGGTATGATCATATGCTGAGGCAAACGATTCCTCCTGGACGAAGTGGACCTTCAATCCACTCAGGGCAGAGATCCTGACGCCCACTGGTGTTTTGAAAGCGGCAGTATTGGCAAAGAGGCTATTGAAGGCGCTCCCAACGCTGCCCTGTTGTATGTTTGCCGGGAACTCGATGACCAGCGTAGGCTTGAAAGGCAAAGCAGCGCAGGTGCCGTTGTCTGGGATGAGCGCGCGTGGGAGTGTCCAAGGAAAGAAAGTATGGTTTGCCTTGTATCTTGATATCGAGCCATTGCTGCCTTTGCCGGCGGGAACCAACTCGACTCCACTGCGTGGGTTGGAGATGGTGTGCAAGTTGACGAAACTTGCAGCGTGAAAGACGTCGGGCCGCGCAGCCAGAACAGAACCGGTGAGAGGAACTTGCTTTGGGACAGGGCAGGTATTGGTGAAGTTCTCGTCATAGTAGACATCGACGCTGCTATGTTGTTTGCGGTGCTTCTGCTTCCTTGTTGGCTTCGTTCTTCTTCGAGGGATGATCAAGGGATGCGCCTCCGTAGTGAAAACATAAGCGGCATCGAGCTTGTTCAGAGGGTGATCTGGGTCGAAGAGCAGATAGAGATACTTGGTGGTTTCGCCAAGAAAAAAGCTCTGCATACGGTCGGCCTTTTCCCCTGTGTCGACATTCTGCAGGCCGGACCAACCGCATTTCGTGTAACACAGTCTCTTGATGTCACTGAGAACCATCTCCCCAACGTGCACATACCAGGGATCGTTCGTAGCGCGGTACAGGTAATAGTTGGACTCGATGAATTCAGGCCGGCCAGGCCACCAGCCAATGCCAGAGTCAACTTGTCTCTCACGTACGGACCATCTCTCGGGCAATGCTCCGTAACGGGTCCATAATGCCGTATATAGAAGATTGGCCTCCTCGGCCTCCTCAATCTCGCCAGCCATCGCAAGCAAGCCAGGGTAAAAGGCAGCCAAGCTGTCAATCCAGCTCGTAAAAGCGTATCCGCGAGTCCGGTGACCAGTCATGTAGTATGGGTGATGCGCGTCATTGTATAGATGGCGCTTAATGGCTGCGTGTGCATGGTGCCACGCCTCCAGGAAAGCCCCAGCTGAGTTCTCCTCGGGCGTCAAAGGTGTGTCGTGTAGTGTATTGGGATCGAGCCACTGCCGATCAGTGGGTGGCTCCGAGGCGGTGACATTTGGCAGCTCGTGGCCAGACAGTAGAATATGGCTTTTCAGTGCATACTCAAAGAAGCTGTCAACACCAGCGCCGATTCCCGAGTCAAAGCTAACCCATTCGCCCTTTTCGGGGTCAATTGCGTTACCAACAAGACCAATGTCGCTCTTAGCTTTCCACACTGCCCAAAACGCCCGCTTTGCCAATTGTTCGAATCTTGAGTCGCCTGTGAGCCTACTAAGAACAGTGAATTCCAGTACGAGACTCCCCGCGCCGGCGCTACACGTGTCTGTCTTTTCGTTCGTCGCTCGAGGTGAATCCGGATCATCGCGAGAAACTTTGTGTAGTGGAGAGTTGACGTAGAAAGGTATGCCGTGTCGCAGGTTGACTCTAGGATACGGCAATCCTGTGTTCGTATAGAAAGCAGGCAAGAGTCGCTCTGCAAGGTCCAGAGCTAGCCTGAGAAGCTGCCCATCGTACTTGAAGCTGTTCGGCCATGCTATGGGTTGCAGCTCCAACGGATCCGAATCCTCGTCTTCGTTGAAGGTCTGGCCTGGGTTGTAGCCAGGTATGGGTAATTCGCCGATGGCGAATAAATGCGCGCTCAGCAAGCCGCCGACTCCTCTGATGACTGTCTCGAAGACCTGAACTTTGCTGTCCAGATCAAAGCCTCGAGCCCGGCGCCCTTCCCCAGACGGCCCGCGTCTTCCGTCGCCATAGTATTCGACGAAAGCTGCTACGCTCTGCTGAAACTCCTGCAGAGCCCAGACAGCAGTATGTTCATCGGAAGGTGTCCCCGCGAGGATAGCCAGGGTCGAAAGGCTGTCGATGAGGGTAAGGGAGTAGTTGCCGAGGACATCGTTCAAATCGTAGTTTCCGGGGTTCGCCGGGTCGCGCGTCAACGGGGTGCAAGAGATCGGGCGTAACTAAATGCAAAGTCAGTCTGGTTTCGATATCTCGTAGATTCCAAGGGTCTGCGTACCTCGTCCTCTGGAAACGCAACGCGCATGTAGTTGTCCCAGCCATGGTGGAAGACTTGGGTAGTTGCGTTGCGAAGTTCGGCAAGGTGAGCATGGCTGATTGCAAACACGACTGTCGGCCATAAAAGACACAGGTAGCCCAGAACGAATGATCGCGATAACATGGTGATGTTATCTCTTCTGGCGCTGGGCAGGGTTTCCCATCAATCAGCCGACTGCCAGCGGCAGATGCCTCTCGATTTATGCGGGACTGAAGACGAGGTTCTTCATGGAGTTTGGGCCATCAAGCAAGTTGTACTTTGGAAAATAACATGGGTATCACCGAAGAAAATAAAGTATTCGCAGAGAAAGAAAGGAACAACGTTGAACTGAAAAACGTCGCCCGCCCTTGATAGGTCTCGTGTCTGACGTCGAACATCGAAGTGGGATGCGATGTCTGTCATCTTCCTCCCATTGGTGGAGCTGCTGACTCATCATACAGTCGGTGCGTTGCTGCACCTCAACTTCTGGCACTTGCCGTAGTGCACTGTCAGATTGGACGAACGTGTCTTGAGTCAGTTGCCGATCAGGGTTCTAGAAGGTCTAGAGAGAGTCGTGACGGTACTCTCTCACTCCCTCACTCCCATAGATCTGGTCAACGACAATAGTGTCTTTTATTCTCAATCACCGTTTTCATGAGGTACGCAGTCATTTCGGAACATGTGCTTGGATTGTATACCCGATGATTCCCCGACAACATAACAAAAGCAGCGTCGAAAATGAAGAGCAACCAGGACTGGTGTGAACGCGGAATGGGTTTGAATGGTGTGATCGAATCGGTTGGAAAAGATTATCAACTTAGCTGGCCTTTCAGACTTACGTCTAGGCGGTGGGGAGAATGGATGTAATACAAAGGCTTTGTGAGAGAAACTCTGGTAAATGGAAGGTTGAGGAGGAAGAATCGCGTGAACCGAGGATTGTCCCTTATCTTCTGAAAGTTGCTTATCGCAAAATCTTGCCTCATCATTCAGAACAAGGTGTGGCCAGTGCACTCGCTCGTTCGGGCGCTAAGTGACGGGAAGCTTTCTTTCTTCCAACTACCCCACAGCGCCAAAATCCTCCAATGTCAACTTCATCGAAGGATGCATTCTCGAAGCGCTTCCAATGTTGGGCGACAGGCGCGCCGCATAAGCGCGATACTTCATCTTCTACATAACGAACCTTCAATCCACAGTTTTCAAGCTATTTCATGAAGACTTCAATATAGTGCACACTTGCCTCACGCCCCGGGGCCGATGATAGTCAATGTCGGAGCGCAGCGGTCCATCACCGGTGCTGCCCCCACAACGTCAAGCCATTTCGATCGGAACCGTGTCGTCCAGTTTCAGGCAGCATGGAGGGGAAGCGAGCTTCAACATTGATTTCGTCGGCGAGGGCCATTTCGGGGCAGAGTCACCGACAAGCTGTGACGTCCATCCGGCCCACTTGCACTATTCGTACAGCCGGTCATCACCCATGGGTATTTGTGATGGAACCGCAGGTGGCCGCCAAACGGGCCGCGCACACCGCCAGGCCAATTCGGCAGGCCATGGCTTCAGCCTCCCGCACCCATTTCGTAGGCTTAGCAGTCGAACATCAGCCACTCATGGTCGTTCACCAGCTTTACTCCAGCCTCGATAGCTCGCACACAGTGCCCCGGAGACCGGTGGTTTCTACCGGGGTAGCGAACGTTTTCGAGCAAGCGGAGGTCCTCTTTGGACGCGAGTGATGTGCAGCTTGCCATTAACCCGATACGCGGTTGAGGTGACGCCGCTTGAACACCGAACTTACTGCGAGATTCACTCGCTACGGCCTATCGTCATCACTTTGCTATAACGCCCGCCGGCTAGGATCATATCTCGCTTCACCAAGCTATATCCCACATCTTCATCTCCAAGAGGCACGTTAGGCATGAATTATTTGCTATGCGCACCCTGCCAGTCAATGTGCTCAGCCCTCGAGCTGAAGATCTCCTTTCGCGGTCTGCGGCGCAGTCTTGATCTCCTCCCGATTCCAAACCAGAGGAGTTTTCAGAGAGCTCTAGATCACAAGAGCGGAGCTGACGGTGGATGTCGCAGAGCAGAAGCCTGGAAATCTAAAAACCTGGAATGCGGGCGCAATCTTCCACCCCCCGTTCCCTCTTCTTGGGAAGTGTTTGATGCCATGTCGGTTGCCAGATGGCGGACCATTCGACTCGGCACCGGGTCTGTTTCGAACATCCAAATGAGGCAGGAGCACAACGATTTGGATTCCTTCCCGGAACAAGAGCAATCTTGTCTTCACCGACTTTGGACCCGATGCTCTGGAACGAGGCCTGCAAAGAATAAATAATGAAGCAGAAGCTGCAGAAACTCTGGACCAAAGTGCGTGTTTGCAGTCGTTCGATTGGCAGCACATAGAAACCGAGCGTCTACTGGTGGAAAAGCGTAGAGGAGGGTGAACGATTGTCTCCCTGACGCTGCTGGATGGCGCGATTGGCTTGCTTGCTGGTCTGCTTGTACAGATGCTGCGACTCCTCTGCAAGGGAAAGGTTATACCCGACAGGCGGTTCTATTCTGCACTTCTGATTCGTCCCGAGAAGACGGATAGCCATATCACTGGCTGAGTTTTGCATGAGTAGTGGCTTAGCCGCTGCAGATGAGAATTACCGACCACTCCTTTGCCAGTTTGGCGGTGATCCGGCAGGCTCATTTCGGATATAGCGCATGGCAGACGTGATGGATGGCATGATCGCCTTTTCGGCCTGGCACACGCGCTTCGCGCTTCGCAGCTTCGTCGTTGGAGCAAGAAGGCCGGTTGGAACAGGCGCAACACGAGTTTGGGCGCCTGCGAAGACTAGAATCCGGGGTTGAGATTCTCCAAGTTGTCACTTGTTGTCACACAATAACTGCTGGGTTACTGCGACCAGACGAATGGGTTGAACCATGGACTGCGCACACCTGCGACCCCATGATACGACCCCATGGAGGCGGCCGCCGACAATGGCGTGAGGTGACAAACGATCTTGTCCTGGAAAGATCATCGGAAAAACAACGTGGACGACATTGACGTGTGTATTGGGCAAGGTTAGCCTGTCTAGGCACGGCAAGTTGCAACAGAGGGCTACATCGCTTCGAGGATGGCAGCTCAGCCCAGTCAAGCACCCCCAAGCTGATCAACACGATCGGAAACCCCATGGCTGACAATGGCCCGTGGGCCAAGCAAGCGGGGGGGGGGTAATGGATGCCTTCGTCCCCAGTTCCCCCTCTCTGATCATTGGGGCCGCGGTGTCTCTAGACGAAGCAGCGAAACGGAAGACCACGGACGGCAGCCGAACAATGGTAATTACGAGAGAACAAATCAAGTGAAATCTCTAGCGTTGAGGTCGACTCCGCGGGGGACCCGTTGAAGGACAAGGGAACAGGCACCAGCGGCGCTCTCTTCTCTTGATTCCACCCACCCCTTGTCGCGCTCTCAAAGATACCCGGCGCAGGCCGCAAACATTTAGTCTGGACAAGATGAGAGTTTGCTTTTTTATCGCGCTGTCTCCATCCAATTTACCGAATTCCTGGGACGGGTTGATGAAGTGTCTCTGCAGACCAAACCGGACATGGACTCGAGGAGGGTGAGGGTGAGGGTGAGGGTGGGGGCTGGAAGAGGAAGAGAGGTTGTCAGGCTCCACACCCAAGGCGGCGCGAACAAGGGGACGTTGCGACTGCGGAACGCCTAGTGGTCCATGCAGGCCTAGCACCCGTTGCCGTACGGAGACGAAATGGAAGAGAGGGTACGGGCCTGCCTCCAGGACGACGGCGACGACGACGACGATGATGATTAAACCCCATTCATGGACACCAGCAATTTGTGAGACAGCATCAAACCGAAGCGGCTTGACGTCCGTCCCCGCGTCAAGCTGGCTGGCTGGCTGCCAATAAAAAAAAATTAAAAAAAAAAGAGGAGTTCCACTGGGGACAGTGGACGTAAGTCACGTCCGGAGTTGATTGCATAATTCCGGCCCGTCTAACGTTCACTTTTCTTCTTCTTCACATTTCGCCTTATCCACGCCGTGCCACGCTATCCTACCCGATGGTCAATGCCCAATTGCCCATTGATTCGGGAAGGGGACTCTCATCACCCGCCGTCATCTTGCCTCGGATCGAACCTATCCCGCACAACGGCCGAGAGCTTAGGTTTGCTTGCTACTTGCTACTTGCTACTTGCTGCCACTGCCAGCCTACCCGCGCCCGACGCCACTGCCGAGATCACAACTCAACAACGAATTAAAGCAAGAACAGCTTCGCTGCTCTGCCCTCTTATGCACACTTTAGTGTTTTTCTTTTTTTCTTGTACTACACTACCTTATACTTTCCTGTACTACGTGACTTTGATTACTTGCTTAAACTTTCTTGAGAAAAAAAAAAAAGAAAAAAAAAAGGAGTTTGACAAGCAAGGCGCGATGCGATGACTTACCTCTCCGTCTATGTACATGTTCGTAATACCTTACCTTGCCTACGGATACACTATCCGTACTCCATACATGCTCTCTTCTGCTCTCTACCTACCTGCCACTTTCGAAACTCCGGCAAATCCCATCCCAGGCAAGGCAACGCAAGGCAAGGCAAGGCAAGGCAAGGCAAGGCAAGGCCCCCGGAAATTCGGAATTTCCCACAGCTTTCCCACTTCACGTGAGTGAGCAGCGAGCGGCTCGCCTCGCCGCGAAGATTTGAAAGAGGCGAAAACGGGCAAAATGGAACAAGAACCTACAGTGTACATACTCCGGGAAGCCGAAAGCCCAGTGCCTTGGCGCCAAAGGGGACAATCACAAGTGCGCGGAAGCCGCTCTGCGGGGCCGCCGGCTGGGGTACCCACCACTCGCCGTCTCTTTCACTCCCCATTCTTCCTCTCCAGAGACTGTCCGGGGACTGAGAGAGACAGAGAGAGGTATCCGCGTATCACCGTCCTTCTCATCCGCCTCCTCACTATATGGATATCCCTCTATATCTCCCCTCTATCCGTCCACATCAGGGTCCAGGACGGACCATCACCAAGGCAATGCGCAGGCAGGCGGGCAGGCAGAAAAGTGTACCACTACGGGGATGCCCCGGGGAAACATCAAGAGAGACTCTGAGAGAGAGAGAGGATCTCTTCTTTCCCTCGTCGTCTCCCATCTCTCCTCCCCCACCCGTGCCACCCTTTGCCTGGCGTGCCGCCGCCGCCATGCTTGTCCCTACCTTTTTGTTCCTTTGCCCTGTGCGGCGTGCCTTGTGTCCCCTTGTCAAGCAGCGCGCTAGATATGACACCCTCTGCGACTTAACCCCCATAACCTTGCAATACCTCTTTGCGGTTACTCCAAAGCCGTGGGACTCCTCTGACCTCTGTGATCCTCTTTCCCTTCTCCTCTTTCTCTTCCTCTCTCTCTCTCAGTCTCTCCAGGGCACCCCCCGTGATGGGCTTTTTTAAACAGTTTCTTGCTACGATCCCCCCCCCCCCTTCCCTCCCCTTTCCCCCCTTGACCCTGAACGGACCCGGTACCCACTATCCCATCTGAAAAGGGTAAAAGTTTCGACTTCCCAGGTTGCGGAAAAGCAGCACGTCGCATCCGGGCCAGAAGGGCCGCAGACACGGCCTGACTGTGGATGTTAGTCTCTCTCTCATCGTAGCGTATTTTCCTTGCCGGTGGGTATCCACCAACCGCAGCGCCGTTGAGGAAAGCCACACCCGAACCCGCAGCCGCAGGGTCGCAGGGCACATCTTCTTCTCTCCCTTCCCCCCTCCCCTCTGCCATCTGGTCTGCACTTCCTTGTCTCTGGGTCCTCCATACCCTTCCCACAATCCAATTACCCTCGCCTTGCCCGTCCCTCGGCATCGGGGTAGGGGGGGGGAGAAAGAGAGAGAGAGAGAGAGCACGGACGGGGCGCCCGTTGAAGAGGGCTAGCCCCCCGGGACCCTCCCTCCAGCCCGACATGAAGCATGAACATGGGTTTGATGTGACGAACAAGGCGTGCTAACTCGTCCCTCATTGTCGTCGTAATTGCTGTTTGACACTGGTGTAGCAGTCGAAGAGGAGAACAAGTCACTTTATTCTCTTGGCGTATCCTGATGACGATGGCTTTGAATTGGCCAAAGTACGGGCAGATGAGCTGTCTTCCCATCCCATGGTCAGGAGACGACTCCGAGCGTAGCTTTGTTACATTGGGCGCGTCGGCGAGTGCGAATGCTGCCTTGGTCCCGAGAAATCGGAAATACTGCCTGGAGAAAGATGAGTTGTGAGTATTCCCCTCCTGCCCAAGGTGTGTGTCATGACGGGCAGGTACACAGGACTGCGATTCCTTTCCTCTTCGGATCCTGGGTTCGGAAAGCACCAAGGCAGACACTTCATAGTGATCAAGGCATCGACATTGAGTATTGGCGACTAAGGCGAGGGAAGATCACGAGCGACGGAGAGAGTATTGTTTGCACAGCATTTTCATTCAAGGTGATGTTTGTGATGTGTATATATGATGAATAAATCTTCCAAATGGCACAAAACAATATAGACAGTGAAGTGTAAATGTACGCGAGATAATGATGTGCGGAACCCAGAAGAGCCCTTGCCGCCGGTCGTCCCCCTGCCCCCTCCAGTATGAGAGACCATACGAAATGAGTGGTATCTTTTGAGCCAAGAAAAAAAAAAAAAAAAAAGAGAAAAAACCAAGTCCAAACCAAAAAAAAAAATTGCAAAAGAAATGACAATGAACAATCTATACGTCGTTTCAGCCGCTTGGGCTCGGGAATAGCATGATGGGACCAACCCCATAGGGGGCTACCATCGGAAGAAGTGAAGGCCACCATCACAGGTGGTGTTGATGTTTGCGCCGTTGATCTTGTCTGAATCTTGTCGATTCTTCTTCAAGTCAACTTGGGCTTTGGTGCCACACGTTCTCTGACGGCCCTAGGCTTTGCCGGCGTTCTTTTCCTGGCAGGCTGCTTGCCTTTGGCCTTGCTAGAGGAGGCGGCCGTCTCTTCCTCGGGGCTTTCCACTTCCATCTTGATCTCTACTTGGCGGCCTCGTGGGCGAGCTCTGGGTACCGTCGTGAACGTGGGGTCTTCGTCGACACCGTCTTCGTTATCCTCGCCACGGTACTCGTATATCTCATTGAGAATTTGTTGGCGCTCCTCTGGATTCTGTTGTGATTCGACTGTGTCGTCAAGCAGAACAGCACTGCTTGTGGCGGGGTCCCTCAGACGGGTACGGGTTTGTAGCTTCCTTGCTCTCCGGGCCTTTCCTGGTTGAGAAGTAGGCAAGGGCGTGTAGCCCGAGTCTACCATGCCACGCTCGACTGCCATGTACTCGACGTCACCTGTGCCCCAAGCAGTTGTTTGTCCGCCGCCGAGCTCCTTAAACTTGCGATGAACCATCTTGAAATATAATGCGTCAACGTGATCGAAAGCTTCCTTGAGGTAATGTTTCTGGTCCCTTGTTAGCTATGTTGCTAAAAAAAAAAAAAAAAAACCCCCCCCGACATCCATGCAGCATGATGATAACTTACATCTCTGGGTGACCACTGCAAGAAGTTGGATCTTCCTCTTGTCACTTGCATTTGCAAACGTGCAGATGTGCTCGTCATTCCGAACCTCTCTCTGTGCTCGCCCGTGATTATCTCCCACATTCCGGTACCCTTGACGCCTTGGGCTATCAAGCCCCTGTGACGCTCGAAGAGAAAGGCGATGTCTGGTGGGCAATCCGGCTTGATGACAAATTCATCAGGGAGCAAGGCGATGTGCTGCATCTCGTCATCGGCGGTTGGCTCTTCAGATGATTCTGCCTCGCACTCTCCTGCTCGACTTCTAAGACGAGGGCTTCTTTGGGTCCGGCCCGCTGCTTGTTGGGTGTTTTGACGGGCTCGGTCAGGTCCTCGAACGCCTTCGGGGCGTTGTACCTGTGTGCTTGGAAGGGCGTATCCCATGTAACGTCTCCTGGTAGCTTCAGACTTGAAGGCTGTGATATCGGAATCCTCCACCCAGGTGTGAGTAGGCGGCTGGGGATAGTACTGTGCATGGGCTTGCGAAGGATGAGGAATTTGTCCCATGGAAAGTTCACCCATGATAGGCTGCGGCTGCATCATCTGCTGCTGGTGTTGAGGCATGTAGTAGTTGTTGGGTGGCACCTGAGGGGACATGGAGCCCTGGTCCGATTGAGATGGCGCAGAGACAGTGTAGTTACCAAAGTAGTAGTCTTCGGGAGGTTCGCGTTCGTGCTCAGTTTCTGCGGGGATGTAATTCATCTCGAAATGACTCTCTGTTGTGGGAGGGTTCATCGCCATAGGGGAGCCAACTTGGCTCTGGGGAGCGCTCAGGGCAACAGGGTGCGGCCAAGCCATCCTCGAGGGACCGGAAGGACTAGACCGGGGTTGCATGGGAGCCATTGCTGAGGGGTACTGGGGAAGAGTTGACGTTTGTTGGATGCAGGGCGAACCGCCAGCAGATGCTGGGGTCAACATGTGTGATTCACCGAGTTGCGACTGATGGCTGAAAGTTGTGACCTTGTACTTGTCAGACTTGCGCCGAGGGCTAAATCAAGGATATATATCTCGACTTACCGCAAAAGGAGGGCTTCTAAGGTCTGGGTAGATTGTGGTAGGAGGCTGTGCCACTGAGGTGCGCCTGCTGGGCATAGGGTCTGATAGTCTGTCCGTATGCATAGTGGTCTGGTCGACGTAGTTCTGGCTCGTCATGATCAAGTAGATGACCAAGAGTAGTTCTAGACAGTCGAGGTAGGTATAGAACCTGAGTGTGGAAGTGTTGAGGTTGTGAAGAGTGGTGTGTAAGTGGCAAAGGGGATATTCCAAAGACTCGAATGTAGACAAGAGCTTTGATAGCTAGTGGTTGTGTGAAGCTCGTCTTGTCTTATAAGAAGATGGGAGGGGGGGATGGACGATATAAAGAATCCAAAGAGTCACTGAAGTCTGCCTCTCCGTAATTGGACTTGTGAAGTGGGAGAATGGATGAGAAGAGAGCCTCGCGAGGACGAGATGGCCACGGCCTATTAATGACGAGCGAAGTGGACAGCGATGGTGCCGATCCAAAAGTTTGTATGGTTTTTTTTTTGTCGCAAGGGGAGCCTGCCAGTCGAGACGATTTGAACGACTGCCACTCTTCAGAATAGAAAGCAGCGGGGACCATCGCCAGGGTTCGAGGAAGAGACAGGGGGGAGGATAGTGTACACGAGGTACATGAGGCCGTTGTAGTTTGGAAGGCAAGGTAGGGCCAGCACACGGACCAAGAGAACAGGAGAGGAGGAGGAGGGGACAAGCAGGATAGGCCAGGCACAGAGGAGAGAGAGACAGCAACAACGCCAGAGAGACAGAGAGACAGAGACAGACTTGCATGCGGGGGCATGGAGGTGGGTGGTTCATCGCAGGCGATAGCCGCCCGGGGCTGGTATGTACGGGTAGTGCAACTCTGTAGATGCGGGTCGATTCAGTCGGCCGAGCAGCTTTGGGGCCCTGGTCTTGGGGGGGGGGGGGGGTGTGTGTGTGTGTGTGTTGAAAGTGCAGATAGAGCGAGGGAAAGAGAGAAAAGGACATGGGGCGTGTGTATCCACAACTCCATGGATGGGGGAAAGAGGAGCAGGGGATAGAGCGAAAGATTCTGAGAGGTTACCATTGCCAGCAAGAACCACACACATAAACGACAGAGTCGCAGTAGCAGCAGTAGCAGCAGAAGCAGAAGCAGCAGCAGTCCCAATGACATGACAGTCACACTCGCAGATGCAGCCTAGCCCAGTAGGCTGTATCCGTAGCGATGTTACAGCCCACCGGAGCAGAACGTCTCCCAGTTTGCCAGAAACTCGTCCAAGGTACTCCGTCGAGTGGTTTGCTCTGTCTCGTCTCTGTCTCTCTCTTTCCGTGCGGCCGCCTTGCAGCGCCTAAATGGGTGACAGGTGTGGGACGAGTGGGGAAAGAGAACGACTGATAGAGCAAGGCTCAGCATAGTAGAGCTTGGGAATGAGTCTGAGTCTCTGATCATACTTGTCATTGCACCTCTTAACTATTTCGAGGCACCAATGGAAGTAATACGGCCCTAACATGGAGAGTGGCGAGGCGCCTAAGTACAGAGGGAAGACGACCGCTTGCTCATACAGCCTGGTTCATCCGACATTGGGACTTCTTTGGTTTTTCTGGAGACTCTTTGCTTGGACGCGTCGGCCTACCAGCATCCTCTCTTCACTTGGCTACCTTGGAATTCGCTAAGTAGAAGGAGCAAAGTAATTGGGCTGATTCGTACTTACGTGAATGGCGCGGACAGGCAGGTAGATGGGGTCTAGAATATATTAAACGTCCATTGGCGATGGAGACGCTCGATGAATGATGCTCCTTGTTCGCGGACGAAGAATCCCGGAGGAGAGGGGAGATGAGCGTCGACTGTGCCGTCCTCGAGCCAGGTTCCGCTTGTTCACGTCCTCCAGTCTCCAGGACTTCAGAACCCAGATAACTGGCTTTCCCTAGCCGGCGCATTGTTGCCTTGAATTCAATCATCCATCACATGGTCAATGACTGTAAGAGCTGAAATGTGTCCTTACCACCGAGTTCTTTTCCACTTGTGAAAACCTTGACTCAATGAGTTGTCAGAAACTTAGAATCTCTCCCGGCGGCACTTACGCTGTGAGTCTCCTCTCTCTCTCTCTCTCTCTCTCTCTCTCTCTCTCTCTCTCTCTCAAGTCTGTCACATTTGCTCATTTGTTATCAGTTTCGTGGGCGGGACCCTTACAATAGCTAAGGGTACCGTTGCCGAAATCTGCATTGCTCTAAGGTCTGGTCACCTCAGGCCGGCCCTACGCCAAGAGTCGCGGAACAGAACGGCCAGTGCCCAGCTGCCCCGGCACCACCACCAGGTGGGACTCTTTGGGTGACAGGGGTGGTGGGGGTATACCTAAGGGAGACCTCACCTACCTACGGATAGGCTCTGATGTTTGGGTATGTGGGTGTTGAGGCTGCAAATCCTCGGACAAACCGGGGGCTCAGTTTCCGTAGGACTCGCTTGTCGACCTTCACTCCTTGTCGCTGGGTGTGACCGGGTCGCGTCCCGTCAACTTGGAGTCTTGAACAATGGTTGAGTGGGCACTGAACTGGACTGGACTGGAGTGGGCTGGAGTCACTGGAAGAAGCCGGGCTCTTCAGGATGGAATTGCTTAAACAGTTATCCGAGAATTAGGTACTCGTCGTTGAAATTGCCTTCTCTCTGACCTACCTTGCCCTTCTCTTCCCAGCGACCAGAGACACGCTCATGTCAGGTCATGACCCTCTGGGAAAAAGTAAAATGTCAGGGGGTTTCCGTTGCCCGTGCAGAACTTGTTACAGCATCGGTAAACACGCGCCAGTGGGACAAAGCTTTCACATTGTCTCGACTCTCGCCTCCTCCCATGGCATCGAGTCTCCATGTTATTCCCATTCCTTGGCTGCGGCGATTATTATGCGATCAAGCCACTGTCGATCTAGGCAAGCATACATACTCCGTACAATGCCAGGCTATGTACCCTAGTATACATACCCATCCAAGCTAGCGTTGTGAAGGCAGTGATGGCATACTCTGATTCGAACTGGGCAGCCCCCGCAATCTTAATGGACACGGGACCAGCAACTTCATAATGAGGGTGAGAAAGTATTGGACAAACGAGCGGGAAGAGACGGGAACCGTTCGATCTGGAGGGCCCATAAGCATAAGCTGCCGCCGCCCGCCACGATCTGAGATCCATTTCGTGCGTGCCGCGAGAGGGTCGCCGCATAATCTGGCTGACCGGCACAGACACTTTTTCTTTTGTGAATCCTCGGAGTATCCCGCCCGTACCTTTGTACAATGGATGTCTTACAATGGAGATGGAAGTCGAAATGAGGGGGGCCCCGATCACAGACTCGGCTCTGAACTTCTGAAGAACCGGTTGATGCCATGCCTGCCCCCCCACAGCGGGCGTTCATACGCCTCCCCCCCACCCCCCCCCCCCCCCCCCCCTCCCCCTCCCCCCTGCTTGACTTGAAGCTCGTTCGAAAGGATGAGTTGTCACAAGGGAGGAATGGGCTGACATTGGCCGCGATGCATGCAACTTTGAGACCCTCGACCATGCCTTCTGACTGAGCAAGAAAGAACAATAGCCACGTATGGCCGCCGGTGCGAAACAAGAGGAGAGGAACGCGACTTTGCTGCAGAGAGGGAGGGGGGAAACGGACACTGGGCCGATACGCTCAGTTCTCATCTCTCTGGTCGTCAGGTATTTCCTTAGACGGGACTAGCGCGGACCCGACAGTCTGGTTCGCGCTAGTTTAGCGTCAAAACCCGATGGAGCCTACGCTCATGCGAGGCTATCATTGGATCGCCTCGGAGTCATTTTGTCAGGGCTACTGGGATCAATTCAAAGCCTGAGGCCACGATGGCATCCCCCTTTCACACACCCCTCCCCCTCTGGCTTAGCGTAGTGTACGTACCTGCCGTCGACTTCTGTCTTATTCACCTCACCCCTACCGTACCTTCCCCACTTCCACGAGCACACCTCACTGGCCAGAAGCCGATCCCATTCTTCGGACTTAGCGCGCGTCTGTTCTTTCGAATTGAAGCTTAAGCACATTCAACCACTCATGGTGTCGCTAGTGACTCCCAGATAGACCATTTTCACCACCAACAAGCGGCCTGACTTCATCGCCAACAGCAAACGGTCAACAGAACGCAACTTTGTCAACTTTTAACCGCGATATCACACACCCACCCACACTCTTCTAGACTTCACACGCCGCCTCGAAGCTACCTGTCATCACACGCATTCTTTCACACCACCTGCGCCCTGTTGCAGAAACGTGCCCCAACTCTGTTGCTCCTGGCCGCCGCCTTCCTCGGTCCCATGGTTCCAGATGCGACTACGGTACCGGAAGCCATGACGCATCCTTGATGAGCCAAGTCAAGCTGAAGCTGTACGGTCCTGCTTCGAGGGGAAGAGGAGACTGAAAGCCGTCCCGCCTTCGCGTGCCGGCCCTTCCTCATGTTCCTCAGGCCGATGGTACCTTGCAGATCACCGTTCTATGGATGGATGCCGAAACAGAAGGCTGTGGTGCAGTCTGATCCTTTGGCCTCTCTAAGCCTTCAGCCTGTGCCACGATGGATGAGCTTGGAGGAGATCGCTGTGCCGCCTTAGCCTCGCAGTCCCCCTCTCTTCGACGCCTCGTTGCCATGATATCTCCCACCTGGTTATAGAGTCGGCCGCCTGACGAGTGCCGAGGTGCGACATCAGGAGCAGGCGACATGGCCGCGAGCCCGAGGTCAATTCTCTCTGCCCATGGTCGCTTCTCGGGTCGTCGACTTTGCCAAAGGAAAACCTTACCGGCCGCAAACAGACTAATGAGGAACTGGCCGTATCCCCATTCCCTGGAGATTTATGCTCTTAGCGCCCAGGTCGCATAGTTCGTCGCCCCCATTGGCCGTCACTGCCTCATCACGCCGTTGGTCGCGTCTGTCACTGTCCCTGACGCGGTTATGAGCGTCCATATTCATGACCTGGGCCAACATCAAGCCAACACTGCCTCATCTTCGCCTGTAATTCTGGTTTGCGTTGCATTGCGCATTCTCATGCACTTTGAGCGCTTCCGATCTCTCGGGTCACGAAGGCAGCTGGCCTCCGGCAAGCGTCCTACTGGACATGCCAGAACCCAGGTATCCACCGCAAAGCATTGCCTGCTGGGGCTTGGCACCGCAAATCGTCCACGACCGTCCCCGAGCAAGTCAACACGTTCTGGCGGTAAACCCGTATCAAATCAGCCGAGCATAAACGATATCACTATGGTTGGAAGAGGTGACCAAATGTCTGGAAGCGACAACCTCCATCTTCATGCCAAGCCATGCTATGGATTCGAGAACCCTAGCTAGAGGTATCCGTCCGAGGCACCGAAGCACGCTCAGACTGACAGCGATCTTGCCGCTCGCCATGTGAGCTTTCCGTCCGAGATTTCCAGTGGGCAGTGGTTCGATGACGCTTGCCATCGCTGCACCGTGCAACCCCGAGACTCCACCATCCATCGCAATCAACGAAGTCTAACGCCCCCCCCCCTGGACGAGGACTTGCTGGTCATCCCTGGGGCACCAAGAGAGCAGTTCGTAGGTACAAGGAGATACACCACGAGACTACTCCCTCTCCTCCAAGGTCTCTCCCGGCCACATGCGGAATAGGGCACGCTCCACGCCGGGTTTTCGGGCATCTATTCGGCTTCAGGGGGATAGCCTCTTTGCGGCTAGAAGCGTGTAACAAGGAAGTCCGTACTTGATTCACGACCTTGGGCAGCTTTCCCCTCACTGAAGAACTGCTCAATGAAAGCAATCACCGTTACTCATTCTGGAAGAAGGCGTAGCGAGAGTAGCTGACGGCTGGGTGGCCGGACGGCCTCGCCCTCCCGTCGGACTCTGATCAGAAATCCCCGCTGGCAAGCCCTGCTACACTCGAGCGTGGTTTTGATGCACACAAATACTTTCCGGGGGACGGCGCCTTGTCTTCGTGGTGTCTGCCTGCTCGCCATCGATTGGAGCAACGAGGCAAACCACTCATCTTCAATAATGGTGGTCCTCTTTGACCTGCTATCGCCATCCCCCCGGCTCCCACGAATCAAGGACGGCACAACCGGTCCGCGGCGTGACGAGTTTCTGCAGTTGTCATGGATTGCCATTCTTCGGGACGGCTTCGCCGTTCAGGAGAGGGGGTGGACATGCTGGAAGCCGTGGTGGTTCTGTGGAAGAGCTGCCATGAGTGGTCCAGTGTTAACAAAGGCGGGCGTTAGGCCCTCCGCCGGTTGCGCCCGTAAGAACGTTTTTCTCCATGTCGCATCTGGAACAGCGGCAAAACGGTCCCCGGGGAAAGAAAGAAATCTCTTCTGCCCCCCCCCCCCCCCCTTTCCAGGGTCAAGCTTTGTGGTTGCGTGGGAATGTCGAAACAGACAAAGGTCTGAAAGATTCGCAAAAGGCGCAGCCGCCACCACCACTACCACGCCTTCACCCATCTGCAGGATGGGCATACGAAGAGGGGAAGCAAAGCATTCCGAATCCTTCGGCAATTCATTTCAGCCCCCAATGCTGCTCATCTCTGTCCGAAATCATGTCTCTACCCGAGCCGTTGACTGCGAGACTACAACCAACGGCCGTAACGATATGCTCCGGGCGTTTCAAAAGCCGCTGCTGGTGCGCGAGCCCTCGCTACGCCTCTGTGAGGATAATCAGCACTCTAATCTGGACGAGAAGCTCGAGTGTACATTACTGGAGAAGCTCTCCCATCTGATCTCGACTTGTGGGCAGGGCGGTGTTGAGTCAATTTCCTGTCTGGTCCACTCCCAGCACTGAACCGGTCATCACTATGGATACTACCCCTCGTTGGATGAAGATGGTTACGTCGACATAGCTTGGTGACGGATATTGGGTGATGCTGTTCTTGGTAGAGAATAACGCCTCGCGAGGCGTTCTCTTTCGATTTGGCCTTCTATCTTATAGCTCATTGATCACGTTGTTTTGACTGGTCGTCAACCCACGAGGCCACAACAGAGGCCCGAAAAGGCGGCCAAGTGCCTGCAAAGCCCCCTCATCGCTGCCCCGGCGACTCCGGGTATCGGCGAAGACGAACTCACATGCCAAGAAGAAATTTCAATGGGCAATTCAAAAGTGTACAGTTTTCGTGGTCGATTTCAGAAGCTATCGCGAAGACGTATTAGGGCGACCAAGTGGTCATCGCCGACAACCCCAGTCCATACATGTTGAGGCCTTTGAGGTCTCTTTCTGCACCCCAATCTTTCGGCCACAGTATCGGAGCTGATATCGGGGTGCAGAATCCTCTGCTATTTTCTGCAATCCCTCCTCTTTCGCAAACTCCAGCATTCCCGGAGAGCTGCGGCTGCGCCGCTCTAGTGGTCAAAGGAGCACCTCTCTCTTCAGCTTGTCTGCAGGAACAAGGCACTCAAAACGTCATGTCAACTTCCCGTAGCACTTTGTTTCTATTTAGCATTCTACCCTATTCCTACCATGCGGTTAAAAAAGCGTTCCAAGTGGCGGAGCGTTCGTGCCCCACGTGTGTGGTGAGGCTGTGAAAGCTCTTTTGCATGTGCTGGGAAAGAAAGACACCACCAACCAACAAACAACACCAACACCCGAATAGCCAGCCCCCAACGATTTTTCCGACCACGCCCAAAGCAGAAGACAGAACAGCCCCTTCGTGCTTCGACCAAGGATAGACGACCGAAGCGCACCAGGAAGCTGTCATTTTTCTTCACTTTTCGTATCCACAACCATCAAACAAGCGCAGACGTCCCGTGAGTTGTACGTTACACGCACTTCGAAAAGCCCATCGTTGGCGCATCCACTCGACAGCCCCCCTTCCCTCCCCCTACTTCTTCCTCCACGCGATCGAGAATAGTAGCCAGACAAGACACAGCCTGCACACAATCTAAGGTTAATCCCGGCCGCCACTCCCGCTGCCACAAGCGGCGCAGAAACCACGAGAGTGATGGAGACGTTTAGGGAACGTTTACCGCAGGCTGTCGGTAAAGTCTATCATGACTGGCTCTTTGTTCTTGCTGGGATGGCCGTCACCCTCGGGTAACGAGCAATGATTCGTCCCCCTTTTACGTGATGACTCTTTTGCCTGATATCGTGCCTGGTATCGAACTCCCTTTGTCAGATGAAGAAACGGCCTCAATCGCATGGGCAAGACCGAGCGAGCGAGCGAAACTAGGAAAGAGCGAATCAGAGCAACTAGACCAACATCCCCCATGCCTTACGCCCTGGTTCGATTCTCTCGTCACCTCTTGGCCCCCTCCTTTCCATATGGGAGTGGAAAGTCGACAAAGTAGACGAATGGTGTGCGTCTAGACCGGGAAAGTACCTGACCATTGTCGACTTCCTATTCGACGGGAAGTGGGAAAGAAGGCATCTCTAGTCTCTCTCATGATGGAGATACCGGACGAACACCCTCGTCTTGTTCAAGCGAACCATAGCCCCCCCCTTTCCCCCATGATCCGTCATCTGCCAGCCCTACGATTCCTGTCTCAAACGATGAAACAAGCGACGATGGCATGTTCCAACGCCCCGTGAAAGAAGATACTTCTTGACCTGGTACCGATACAAGATACGAGCCCAGACGCCTCCTTGACTACTCGATGATACCCCCTCCAGGGCGGAGAATGTCACAATCGTCAGATACTTGCTGCTGCTCCTTCCCCCCCCTCCCCTCCCTCCACCGCCGCACCGTCACGGCCACTTTGCGGCCGTCGAAACGTGAACGTGCCTCATATCGGCGAAAAAGAGAGCCTCGCAGGTCGCCCATACCATCATACATCAGCCTGTTGGGCCGTCACATACGCGACCCGCGGCTCTCCCAGCGAATAGGAGCTACCTCCGAGTACTTGCTGAGAAGAAACTTCACTTTCCTTTCGTCAATGGAGCACTTTACGAAAGGGAAGAAGGGGAGAGTCTAGAGGGGGGGGATGAGTTTCCCTCGGACTTTTCTCTCAGTACCCGCTCCAATGTTACTCTCGTTGCTTCACGCCATGATTGGGGGATCGAGGTGCTTCAGGACCTGAACCTATCATTTCCATAATCATACGCATCGTCATCATCATCGTGATTATTAGTTTCGTACACTTTCGTGATCGTGGAGCAGAGCTGAGCTGATGGGATATCCCCCCCCCCCCCCCCCAAATTGTGTTTCTGACATTAGGGGGGTAATGTATGTATGGGGCCATTGACGTGAAGTTGTCCGCCTGATAACGCCCACTGATGCCTATTGCTCTTGATGACAGCTCGGGAACGATTGATATCCGTGTAGATTCCAATGGGGGGTGTGACTGAGTCTCCGTACGGATCGTGTACCCTCGGTATCCGTGAGGTCACCTGTCCGTAGTTCCAAAAAAGGCCCATAGGAGGCATCATCAGAATGGTGACTCACCTCTGGACACACGCCACATACCTCGCTCATTCATCCGTCATGATATTGGAGGTTTTTGAGATTCCAAGTTGACCATGGGTGCTTGGAAACTCCCATCCTGCGCAGAACTATACACGATGTATCTAGAGGGCAGTCATCACATGTGTCAATGTTGCTAGTCTCCATGGGTTTCCAGACACAAACAACAAGTGGTGTAAACAGAGCGTGCTTGAATTAATCTTATTTATTTCGGAACTCAAACAAAGCTACAGCTAGTCACAGCGTTCTTTTGCAAGTGTGCCCATGAAAAAGAAACCTTCACTTTCACCTTCACCCGCTATTGCCAATGCTTTGATGCTCCCAGAAAGGAGGAAGAAAAAGGAACAGACACTAGACCCTCCGAGGAAAGAAATGAAAACGTACAAAACGACCGCCGAAACCGAAGCCGCAACCCGATGTCGCCTGATCATGTCGTGGAGCTCATTGTCGAATATACGCGTGATTATACCGTCATCAACAGACTCTGCTAGGAAATCAAGAGGATAAAAACGAGGCAAAAAGTGTTGTGTACCAACGAGAATCGCTTGTTGGTGGAAGGAGCTTCCATTCTGGGATACCAATGGCAAAAGCAGGTGTATAAACGTAATAGAAAGACTTCCATCTTTCGCCGGTCAAAATATGTCTTGTTGCAATGCAGTCGCAAAGCAATGATGTCGCTCACCTCGGAGCATGGAAGGATCGCTGAGAGCTGCAAACCTAGTCACTCATCCCCGGACCCCAACGGAGGGGCCTAATACAACGTCTGCCGAAGGGGCATTCACTCACTCCTTTCTGGCAAGCTGTGATCGAGCTGTCCACCGCTTATTTGCAGATCGTGAAACTCGCCCCCACGTATGCGTTCTTCCTTCGTTCGCACTCCTGTGGGGAAGTTACATTGTACAGGCTCTCCCGTATCGTATTTCATGCGGCTCCTATGCGCCCTCAAGAGGTTGCACAAAGTTATAATTGAAGTCCAAGAGGCCGTCCAGCATCCAATGCTGTGGATCGAAGAAATCGTAGTTGGTCTCGCCGTAGGACATGCCGCTCAACATGCTGTTGCTGGGTGGTTGGCTGCCGATGCCACCAGAGTTGCCAGGAGTGAGAGCACCATTAGCAGCGAGCAGGCTGTTCGCTTGAAGCCCTTGGGTTGCCGGCATAAGAGTGCTGTCCAAATGGGTCGATGACGCTGAGGACTCGTTCGCTGAGTCTGGATTAGTAGGTTGTTTCATGGCTATTTAGGATGGCACGTAAGTCAGTCATCACAGTCACACCGAAGAGAGACGTGGATGCAATGGCTAGAGCACTGGGTGGGAAGGGGATAGAGCATTATAATTACCATCGATGGAACCTCTTCCTTGGGCTTGGTATTCTTCCCTCCATCGCCAGACAGAGTCAAACACAAGACTCATGCTATGGCGGCAGCGCACCTTGAGCTGCAAGGTGTCGTCAATGAGTAGCGGCGAATCGTCATTGTCGTAGGAGGCCGTGCTGTTGTTGTCGAGTCGAGCTCCGTTCCACATTTGCACCATTAGCTCTGCTAGACGCCACTGCAAGTCGTTGTTCACAACACTTGTAGCGCGAATGGCATTGATGGTCTGGTGGAAGAGATTGCGGCCACGATCAAAGTCGATCGTCTTGGCAAAGAATGACCGCATGAGCTTGAGTAAGGCAAAACCTGCCGCGATCAACATCTGCTGGATGTAATTTGTCGCATACAGCAGAATTTGTCCGGGGGAGTTCTGTCCGGGCGATGTGACCTTGTCGACCTCGAGTATGTTATCCAAGAAGCTTGTGGTTGCCCTCCAGAGGCCCATCAGATCATCAATGTAGCCAGGCGTGGTGCTCGAGTCAAAGAAGCCAGCTAGGCGCAAATGGAGTGCTGCGGCCCGCATATGTAGGTTGACAATTGGCCCCAGATGCTGCGAGAGGACCGATGCCTGAAGTTCGTTGAAATCCTTTCTGTAGACTCTCATCAACATGGCTCGGTGCTCATCACCAGCGACCCCACGAGGATCACTGGCGTTGCTGTACATTTCCTTGGACACCTTGTCGCAGAAACGTTCAACCTGAAGCCTAGCCTCCAATTCGGGTGTCAACCGGAAGGGACCGTCTTCGCCTCGTCGAACAGCCAAAGTCCAGTCGTAGAGGGTTGAGGCCGGTTGACCGTAACCAGTACCAATAGTCTGGGCTACAATATTGCAGACAGCCCATGTTGAGACACGATCGTGCAGCTGCTCTTTGTTGAGGTCAACCGACACCCTAGAGAAGTCTTGACTGTGGTTTGGTCTGTGTAGGCCGATGCCCGTCGCCACCTTCATCATAACACCACATAGAATGTGCGTAGGGTCAGCGCTTGTCGTGCTTGTCGGTAGAGGCCAAGTACATAGCAAACACAGAGCTTTGACGACAAAGTAGCTGCTTGGAACATCTCCAATGGTTGACCACAGCAGTCTGGTCAGAGGCCCAGATATCGAGGTCAACAACGTAGTATCTGCGCTATACCGGCGAGCAGCAACCGAAATAATGGACCAAAACAGAAGAGCGTGTTGTTGGAAATACTGATCAGGCGTCTGTTGCGGGTTGAGGAATGG